TCATCAATTCTAGGAAGAGCGTACGCATCCTTTACTGTCCTCTGATTTAACTGTCTGTAGTCAATGCACATCCTTAGTTGACCACTCTTCTTCCTCACTAACACCACATTACTGGCCCATGGCGACCTTGATCTCCTGATGACACCACTTGTTAGAAGTTGTTGTATGTGGTTCCTCAGTTCATCAATCATACTGATTGGAATCTTTCTGTGTCGCTGTTTGAATGGCACTGTATTGGTAAGTTCTATCTGATGTTTCACTCTAGCTGTAAGTCCAATATCCTCATCATTTTTGGAAAATACATCATTGTATGCCCTTATTAGTCGAATTGCTTTCTGTAGTTCTGTTGCATCCAAGTTACTATCTTCAATCTTTATCTTTTCCATGATGTCAAAATCTGGCATTTTCTCTCCAGTAAACTGCTTCTGACTTTCCACTGTAACAGGCTGGAGTTCACATAATAACGCTTTTGGTGGAACTGTAACTGTCCTAGTTGATACATTCGTTATGTGGATAGGCACTAGTTCAGTATTTTGGTAATGGTATGAGACAAGAGTAGGGGAAATATCCAAATCATCAGGAATGAACGATGAAGTTGTTGGTTGTACAATAGCACACACTGGTTCATAATTAACTTTCTTGTCCAGGTAACCATTAATTACAACTTCACTGTTGGCAGGTATAGTTATCTTCCTACTCTCTGCTGATCTGATGAAAGCTAGAATGTCTCTGTTCTTGGCAAGTTCTCTTTCACGCATTACCAAGCATCTCATGGACAGGTACCATGGCGTATACATGTCTGCTCTCTGTAAAAATTGGTTTCCATACATATCCTTGGTAGTCTCCATTATGATGCATAGTAGGTTTGTCCCAATAAGAACAGGAACCTTCGAATTATACGCACTCTGTGGAACAACCAGGAACAAACAGTTATTCAGTAATGGGAATGATGAAATTCCCGATATCTGTACATCCAGTGAAATGTATCCTGAATATGGAAGTTGTAGTCCATCTGCACATTCCACATTCAATGCAAAGTCTAAAGATTGCAAGGGAATTTCAGGGAAATGTTCCTTGTAGAAAGTTTCACTGATGGTAGAGACGGTTGATCCAGTGTCAAGTAGTGCAGTGGTTGCAACATCAAAAATCTTGACGGACACTTCATTACACTCTCCAATCAATGATGATTTCTTATTGTAAGTCTTTGAGGATGGTGTATACTGCTGATGTATGTATCCTCGTTCTGAAGACTTCCAAGTGTAGTAGGGTCGTCTCTTGTGGTGCGTAATTACTCGACATCCAATTGCAATGTGACCATGTTGTCCACATTTGTAACACACAGGTTCATTCGCTGTATGATGGTTTGGACTATCATATGGTACGTAGGATGACGATGACACAGTTCCAATGTTCATTTGTTCATGATCCTGCCTATTCATGATAGAATTATCTACGTCTGACTTCATGGACATATGCATTGTGGTAGAACTCACATTGTCACTAGTGTCTTTCTTTTTCACAGATTTCTGTCTCTTGTGTGAATTCTGTTTCTCCTCTGATTCCATAGAATTTCTGTTTTCCATAGGACAATCACTATTAACCAAGTGTTCTTGTTCCACTCTCCTCAAAGCCACTAACAGTTCTTCGAAACTTTGAATGCTGTCATACAGATATCCAGTTATGTGCTTCAGTGAAGGTTTAAGTCCAATCCACAACATGTTGTGTAGCATTAAATTCCTTTCTGTATGGTCAATGTCCTTAGTCTGACGTACTTTACACATAATATCCTCCAACCTACAACTCCATGATGTAACATTTTCACTGGGTTTCTGTTGTGCTGAATAAAATTCTGCAAGAATAGCCTCAGCCCTATCGACAAGTCCATATACACTGTCCAACCTAGCAAGAATGTCTGATAGAGTTGCTTCGACACCTAGGTTCATGACAGTTCTGCTGGCTTCTCCTTTCAGGGACTGTCGAATGGCTTGAAGTATTTTATCTGTAGGATATCCTTCTTGCATTAAGCATCGAACTTCATAGTGCCAAACCTGAAATGAAGTTGCACCTTTTCCTGAAAACAATGACAATTTAGGAATATGTATAGGCCAAACAAATTCATGATAATCTACCATCCAATCGATAAAACTTTGAGGTGAATCTACATTTGGTTTAACATCTAATTCTTTAAAAGCTGTGACAATATTGTCAATCTCTTTTGCTGAAAACTCCATGATACTACTGTATGTAATTTCACTATCACCTATGAGATGAAAACTCAGAGTGTCTATGGTGACATACAAAGTACACAAAATGGTACAAATCAGTGTGAAATACATATGTCAATTATTCTAAGTTCAATCATTCTCATAACACAAAGTACATGGCAGCAACACAAGCATGCAGCATAAAAACTATAAAATATTTGCATAATCAATGTAAACAAACCCCTTCCTGTAACCAAGCAGTATTTCCGGTATGTAAAGATGCACTTCCGGTTTGCAGAACATGTAAACAAATATGATTATGTGCAATTTTCAAAGACAAAAAATACACCTCTCAAAATGTTTGTCAATGTATGCAAAGTATTTACTAATAATTCCTGGAAAAAAAAATAAATCTGCAATAAAGAATTTCTGAAACAGAATTCTAATTACATGCTGAGAATGCTGACACTTCAATAGGGCTTCGTTCCAACTTTAAGCTTGTCAAATAACAACAAAAACACGTGAAGTTGACAGAGGTCTAACTGTCAACGAAATCTGGCAATTGTATGGACTAAAATTTATTTCAGCTAACCCAGACGAACAAGTGTGATAACAGTAAGTAAAATAACTTCACTGTGTATTTTGAACCAATTACTTTACCTAAATGACTGAGAAAAGAAACAAAATATTTCTCTAACTTCTTCACGAAAACATCAAAACAAACCGACTTCCGGTGAAATTCTAGAAGCGGACCTCGAACCCGATCTTAATGATTGTGATCACAACACGATAACGGGCGCGGATCTCAGTACTTATTTCTACAGTAAATTTTAAATTACCTGTACAAAGCTTGTGGGGTATAAAAGATGATTATGACAGACAAACACTGATCAGATTCTAGTAACTACATATCTACACAAAACTGCAGGAACTAACAAACCACAATGCAAACAACTGACCAATTAAACTCACTGACTAAACTATATACACCAGTCAAATTTTATGTCACTGTCAATAAGGTCAGTAAACTTTTTGGTCACATATTAGTGCTAAGAAGGATAAGCTGAAAAAAAAAATGGAGAAACTGAATGCTGTGCTCGGGACTTTCTCACATAACTTTCACAAAATTTACTTTACTTTAAGTGATTTAATTAAAATGAAAATTATTTAACCAGATATCACTGATAAAAAAAATAAATATTTACACAATGAATTTACAAAAAAAAAAAAAAAAAAAAAAAAAATTAGCTAGAAATTTTCAATCAAAAATTAAAAAAAAAAAAAATAAACTATGGCCAAAATACAAAGATAACCAGTACTGGATTTAAAACCCAAAATTTGAGTAAAACAAGAAAAATTTACATTTTACATTTTAGAAATCAAGGGTAATCAAACAAAAAAATATTCAAACCCTTTGCAAATTAAATTACAGCATTCACATGATTTACACACTATCTGCGAAAGATTTAAAAACAACTGTATGGCATGCCTGTAAAAATTACATGTACCTTGTAAACAGTTTCTAACAGTTAGTGTACGTACACAATACCTCTACTGGCCAGGTTCGAATCCACTGAAGTTCACAGCTGTTACTCTTATGCGCACACAAGTTCAAAATCAAACACGGCTCACTGAAATGTCACAGTTTGTCACACTGCACCGAATTTGCTGCATGTTGACCTGTCCATCTCATCATGGTTGAAGGCATCCAGTCCCTACATGGGCGCCAATGTTGCAGGGGTGGTTTATACTAAATGTAAATAGCTCAACTCCTGGCTAAGGGTTCATCATTATGTTTATTACTGATGTTCATGGAAAGTATTTATATAAACAAAATGGCCCTATAAAATAAAATAATAACAATGAATATCACATGAGATAACAAATGTATACAATATATATTACTTATTTTTATTGATGTACAATAAATAGATTTAACAGTTAAGAGTTATCTTCCTTTACTTTGAATATTTAGCATATACTTAAATCACTGTACAAATATTCTTTACACAAATAATTTACTGCCACATTTCAAGAAATGTAACAATATGTAATTATAACTTAAAATATACAAAAGGTAACATATATTCAAATTACCTCTCTATGGGACAAGGCCCATTCCATAAAACATAGTAAATAGCCTGGATGCGTCATACAGGTCTACATATCTAATAACAAATACTGTACACTATACTATACATACTATAATACTCATAATTCAAATAAATTTATACTCTGAGGTAAAATGCTTTAAATTTAGTTTTATTCATATTTAAACTTTCACTCTTCTTTCAAACAGTGATATTAGCTAAATAGACATATTATAAAGATATAGAATGTTAAACTTTATACTTACTGTCAGGTCTGGTCTTAAAGGTCTCAAAGTCTTTGTCTTTGTCTAAAAATTCTCTTGTTACAAAAACCACAACTATCCTGACCAAATTCTCTGAGTAGTCCATCTGAGAACAACTCAGAACCACCAAAACTTAAAACCAATAAAATTACAGAACCCTAATGTCATAACCTTTGAACTCTATCGCTCACCAAGTAAATAAAGGGGTGGATCTGGGTTTTGTATTAAATCATAAAATCTTATTTAATTTCATTTATATCCATAATATTTATTCAAATATTATGTGATATACATTATATACAGTTAAAACACACTGCTACATGTTTGATATGTCCGCCTGCCCTAATAAAAACCAGAATTTTTCTTTGTTTTTGCCAGGTGAATGTTGGATAAGACACCGTTTTTGACGACATTTTTCTAGAATATGTATTGCTTTATTACAGGGTCTTGATTCTTTCTCCGATGGAGTAAACGTATTTGCAATTCTCGAGCACGGTCATTTGCTGGCCAGAAAAATTAAGACTAGAATTATCCGTAATGGGACTGAACTAGAACCGTTAGCAATGGACAATAATTATGATTTTAATTACCAAGATTATCGATACTTTACCAAGACTAGAAAATTAATGTCGGTGAGTAATTTCATTACAGGACATACATTTTACATCCTTTTAGGCATCAATTTTTAAATCATAAACTTGTTTATTCTATATAAGTTAAATTACAAAATATATCATTTGTGAACAATTTTTTGAAAATTATGGATTTTTTGTGAATTAAATTTAAAAAGGAAAAACTATTAGAGAAAAACATTAGGCAATCTTAAACATTTGCTTAAAATATTTTTAGGGCGATGAACTGGTTGTGGAATGCAATTACGATTCTTCACAAAAGTCTGCTGTTACTTATGTAAGTAAAAAACATATAAAACGTGGTAAGCTTGACGTTTGAAATGGATTTCATCATGTGTCAAGAAACTTAGATATTGAACGTAAATCTAATGGACTCTTTATTACTATTTCTCAGTTTGATTCTGTGTTTAAGTTCTTTGATGAGAATTTTTCACTCATTTAGATACTAGTGTGTAACGAGCTTTAGGTAAAGTGCCGCAAATTTTTACCTATATATGCATGGTGGGCGCTTACTGACGTAGCATTGAGAGTTCTGTATCGCGCTTACGCCTACTATTACACGGGACCTTGATTTTTAGGGTCACATACAAATAACCTACGTCTTTCTAAAAGGAGATATAATGTTAAAGCATATCTTTTGGCCTACATCTTAGAATTAAGAATGAAATTTGAACTATATTGCTTCCCGCGCACTCGTGTGTTTGTTTAAAATAATCTACTCGAATACTCACGCACATTTTTAAATTGATGCGAATTTTGCTCTCATATTGATAAATCTTATTCTTTAGGGAGGATTAGCTACAACTGATGAGATGTGTCTATCTTTCTTGGTTTACTATCCACGGATGGCTGTAGAAAGCTGTCAGAGTAGCCCGATGTATAACAGTATCCACAGAGTGGGCTATGGCGGACGTCCAGTGGCATCCATGTTTGATTTGACTTCATCAGCCTCCAGAACTTATTTCAATATTGTTCTCGCATCGACAAACCACCGGACGTCCTGTTCTGGGTCATCATTGACACCAAAGGTACATTTACTATTTCTCTATGTTTACATATAATTTTAAAAAACTAACATTTAAGCGAAAATAAACTTTAATTTTGTTTAATTAACCGCGAACTCTTAGTGTTTTGAAGAAGATACAAGAATTCTTAATTAATAAATTGTATCTCTTCTGCCATTTTGTGGCAAAGTCGATTTTTTCGACTATAGCCTTTGCAACTTTTCGGTCCGTAACTCTAGCAGTTCTCTATTTGAAATAATTACTTATATTTACATTTGCAAATGTTTTCTTTTATATAACACTATAGAAAGCAACGCGTATCTATATCCGTATAAACACAGGTTCGTTCGACGTAATTTCTCAGTGAAGTCATAAAGGGTCGACGCGCAATCAATGGATCAAATACGTGACGTTGAGTTTGAAAAAATAAAATATTTCACGCGTTAAAGATTATAATCAGGAAAATATAAAATATGAATAAGTCATAAATGTAAATATAAGTAATAATGTATCATTTTTATAAATACGGGCTGGTACGAGATCAAATTTACTTTATCTCGTGACCAACCCGTATTTACGAGGGGTTATCAAAAAGTTCGTGGACTAGCGCCATAAAATTAAAACCGCTTTAAATACACCAATGAATTTTAATACATCTAGCTAGCATCATCTTTTCTATCTATAGAATAAACCGTAAATCATAAAATATTTTTTTTAATAAATTGTAAATGTTTTTGTAAGCAATGGTATGTCCAAGCGGCGCAACCTCAAATATGACGTTTTATCTACCTGAGTGTAACTGAGAAAAACTCTTTTGATATGAGCATTTGTCGTCCAAAAACCCGGTTAATTCAGGCATATGATACAACACAATTGTTCCGTAAAATTTTCAATTTTTACCCCATTCTGTAAATTCTATGAAATTTTATCGTAAATTTTATATGGAGTATCCAAACAATTAAGGACTTGAAAATGGCGTCAAAAAGGGGGAGGGGTTTCTGTTTCCAACATTCTTTACAGTTTCGCACCTGGAAAAACTGGTATAGACCTAGAGAATGTTTAAATCGGCTCCAGAAAAATAAGATACACCCAGAGTACTCGTTTTAAATACCCAAAAAGATTCAGAGAGTTGAAAGATGCACAGTTAAAGTCAATTTGTAGTCAGGGTGTCAAAAATCAGTCACGTCGAAAAGTGACGTTGATCATGTTTGGTAAAAGTTGAACTCCAACAAGCTAAGTATTCTGACATAATCAAGTGAGGATCTTTCCTTATATATAGATACATTTACAATATTATATGCAATGAAAGCAGCTGTTCATGACATTGTAAAGTCACATAAACAAGACGGGCTAAAGTCCTTACTTTACTCCAGGTAATCACATCAAGATAAGTGTATAAGGTAGACGGAGTGGACATTGAGAAACAATGACGTTGTCGGACGTCATGAAACTAAACGGCGACTGCGCCGGATGATTACACAATGTCTTTTTTAATTTAGAATAATTTGGCAAATTATCAACTTATTAAGCTAAAATGTTCAACATTTCTTAAACTTTTGTTGATTTATGATTTTCATAAATTTTATAAGCACAGACTACATAGTATTAATTTTATCGCATCAGTCCACGAACTTTTTGATAACCCCTCGTATATCCGGATTGATGTTTAAAAATGATACCTTATTTCTTAATTCACTTTTTTAGTGTCCACGGATGACCCTGTATATATATATATATATATATATATATATATATATATATATATATATATATATATATATATATATATATATATATATAATATTTTTATATAGATAGATATTCCAAGTAATCTATTCCAACTTTTGGTAGCTTTTAGAAGCGAGAAGTACGCAAAATTATTTACGTTTACTTGATCACTTGAAATTGAAGTACCTCAATGAAACTGAATTTGTGCATAGACATCTGATAAAACTAAGACTTGAAATGGATAAAATTTCAGCACAGCCATCAAGAACTCCAGATGCTTATCCCAGATTCTCCTTACTTTGAACCGCCATCTACTTGTCCTACGTCGTTGAATCTAAAGATGACGTCACTTCCAACAACGCCTAATCCATGTGGATCTCCTAAACCGACGGAACAATTTGACTTTCAGGAAAACATAGATCCTGATGGAAAATATGTACTCTTCTGGAATGTGAACAAAACACACATTGTATTTGAGGCACACGTAGAAACTAAGGGTTACATTGGATTTGGATTATCACCAAACGGTAAAATGTATCCTGCAGACATCATAGTTGGATGGGTCAAAGATGGAGTTCCTCATTTCAAGGTATAACTGTAATTCTGACATCAAAAGGGGGAGATACATTACTATTTAGAATAATTTAAACCAAAATGTCTCTCACTGTAGGACATGTACAGTGTTGGTCACTCTAGACCTATCGTGGATTCGTCTCAAGACTGGCATCTTCTTTACGCAAATGAGGATAGTTGTCGGACTTCCTTAAAAATGGTCAGGAAGCTAGACACCTGTGATGATAAAGACTTCAAAATCACGGTATGCATATCTACATACGTAATTGTCAGAAAAACCACGGTATACATACCTGCATTATTGTTGGGAATGCAATGTCATATCAAAAAAAAAGTATAACTTACGTTTCTTCAAGTGAAAACTGTTTTCAGGTTTTAGATTTTCAATAGTAGTCTAATGTATAGTACGTTTGTCTAGTTTCTGGAGATATTAAAAATATTCTCCAAATGATAATTTTTAAGTCGGGGTTATTTTTTTAAATTACACAAAATTATCTATTTTGTTTATACACATCTATCATGTTTTCCAAAGATATATTTTTATTGAAGAATGTATATCTAAAAATTAATTTTCAAAATCGTCACCATGTTCTGTAATTACAGTTTATACTTTTTTGACCCACAGGATGACACAGTGAAGATAATTTATTCGTACCACCACAATGATCCCGTCAATCATGACGCCATTATGTACCATGGAGTCAACCGCGGGGTCAAAAGTCTATTGCTTCTGTCCAAAATAACCCCTCCAGTGCTAGAGAGCGATTCCCAAGTTGTTGATTTTTTCAACAATAACGTAAGACTTTTCTTTTTTTTGTAAAACAGAAAAACTTTTAAATAAGTAGAGATTGGAATAGGATTTTTTTTTTAAAGAAAATGTTTTTTTTTTTTTTTTTTTTACTTTAATATGGTTTCTGAACTTTCTAAAGAAATCTTCAGTTTTGCATCACTTAGTCAGAAAATATATAATTACTTTTGTTTATAAGAAAGGGTAACTTGCAACTTTTCCGGCTTCTTTTCAGTACCACGTACCTGCTGTCGACACGACGTACAGCTGCCGAATCTTTGACTTTTCTTCTCTTCACAAAAAGCACCATCTAACAAAGGTATTGATAATATCATGACTATATATGGACTGATATATATTTTTATTCAAAGCATATTTTACATTTTATATTTGGATGAATTTTTCTATGATACACGTAACAGCTACTAATATTTGAAATGAACTTTTTTTTCAATTCATTTTGATATTTAGATTATGATTTCTATCACAGTTCGAGGTTATAGTACAGAAAGGTCATGAAGTTTTGGTTCACCACATGGTTATTTACAAGTGTCCAGGAATCAACAGAAACCTCGTCAACTCCCCTAATTACGTGTGTTACGAGGATCCAGACAAATCCAAACATCCGTGTGGTAAAATCGTGGCCATCTGGGCCGTGGGAGGAGAGGTAAATCTTGATACATGTAAATGTTATAAGAGCGTTTCTTTTTAGAGTCGAGGGGTAAGGTGTAGATATCAGTACTAAAGTCGCCGGTTAGAATCCCACAGCGGGACGTTGAGACCAAACGAATATACCAAGGTGTCAGGTCGCAGATGCTGACACGGAAAAGGATTTCTCACAGCTCCTCCATGGCCATAAATGCTGCAAGCTGAGAACAGACTTCATTTGTAATTTAGATTTGAATAGTTTAAGATCTCTTTAACAAACATGCTTAAAAAGTTGCAAGGTTGTATAAATTCAAATACAAACACATGATGAAAATTTTGTCACATTTTCACAATTATTTCAAAAGTTATACTAATTTTGACCTAAGTTTTTTCTCAATTTATGGTCTTGAGAGCAGGTCAACATTTGATGTCGTCCCAATATGATTGAGCGTAAAGCAAATAGATACAACGGCGCACATGGTCATTTGCATAAACGGCCAAGCCCTTGTGCATAAATTACCATGTGTTCCAATATGTATATAGCATTGGTATAGTCTTTGGTATATATAACATGACATGTATGAACGTATATTCACTGTATCAGTTTGTATACTCTTTCAGATCTAGAGGGTCCCTTGTTGTCTTAAAGGTGTAAATCTTCGAAACTTTTGGCGAATTTGATGACATATTTTTCTGGAGTGTTTCAGACCGACATGTTACACTAACTTGTATAGAAACTTTTTATCTGAAAATTATGAATACTACGAATTTCAGGGCGTGTTTGATTCTCATACATCTTTGCAGTTTCACGAACAAAAGTTTCCTAATATTCAAATCTGAGGTACATTCATAAAAGATATTGAAACTATAATAAAGAAAAGTCAGAATAAAAATGTAAGAAATCAAAATTAACATACCAGTGTTTTTGTGACACTTAAGCAATATTAACAAATCGAACACATCCGATAAAACGTTATCAGATACAGTAATAGAGCTACTGCCCTGGTTAACAAGGTGTTTAGTATAAGGTTATAAAAATGCCGTTGTCATCGAGTATTAATGTTAGAATTTCCTGTAATGAAGTTCATTTCATTATACTTAAGCTATGTTTCAAAAAGGCAGATAAATTTAAAAGTGTCCATGCCCTTTAACATAATAAAAGTGTTAATATTTTGATTTTCTTTTTACGCGATGATTATTGTTATCGTGTGGGAGTTACTTGATAAAAAAAAAGTTTTATCTCATATAAATTTTTCAAATATAGTAGTTCATTTTTTTTTCAATTTTGCAATTACTTCCTGGGAAAAAGCTTCGTAGAAATGATTCCACTCATCCAATCCTATTTGGCAACATAATTAAATATTAACTATTTTAAAGGCGTTTTACTTCCCTGACGAGGCTGGACTTCCTGTGGCAGAACCCGGGGACACAGATCTGTACATCATGGAGACCCATTACAACAATCCAGGATTAAGAAATGGTTAATATTTCATATCATTCTTTAAGAATTCTAGACTGTTCTACACTTCTGCTCGAAAAAATAGTAAAGTCCAAGTCATGCAGGGCCATCGCCAGGGTTCTGGAAATGAGGGTGTGTGTCTGGTCTGGGAGTTGTATCCCCTCCCAGAAGCAAGGATTTTTATTAAAAATGGGTACCATTTTGGGTAGTTCCTGTGCATTCTAAAAATTATTTTCAATCATTAAATTGATTGATTGTTGTAGTTTTTACTTTCCATTTTCTTTCAAACACGTGTACAAAAATTTAATTTTTAGTGGAAATAATGGTCAAATTGAAAATCCAGAAAGATCCGTGGCTGAATTGTTTAGCACCTGTAGCGTAGACTTGGTAGTCTAAAAAAGGTTCTACGTACATTGGGGTGTATATTATCTATCTTGTAGACTTGGTGGACAGCTCCGGGTTCCGGTTGACCGTGACCCCCACCCTGAGACTTCATGACGCTGGTATTCTGGAGGTGTCGGCCATGGTTGACCAGAGTCAAGTAATTCCTCCTCATCAGCCCAATTTTATCTCGACCGTCTTCTGTAACGCATCCATTTTACATCAGGTATTCAACTTTCTTAAAAAAGCATTATATGCGACGCATGCATAAACTTTCCTTTTTACTATTTATTCAGCGTATCTAATTTGGTATTTAAGATATGTCGTTATGTCTTTTAAAATCGTTTTCTTTACGCCCGAACTTTAAGGAAGCAAAACGATTGCATGATTGTAATGAGCAATGAGCGTTGTGAAATTCATGACCCCACGGTACAACCCCTCAAGATAAACAGGGCCATATAAAATGTAAATCTTTTATTTACTGCTGGATAATCAAGCAATGAAATTGTGACATTGTTATAATGAACATTGACCCCTTCACCAAAAACTGCGAAATTCATGATCCTGGTATCGTGATTCAAGTCCATGATTGGAAATATCATCTTCATATTTGAAAATACATTGGATTTAAAAAAAAACAAGATGTGTTTGTGAAACACTGATGCCCCCGTATGGCAGCTTATGGCGAAGGTTAAAGTTTCTTCAAATGCAAGTCAAAATCCAGGCCAAAAGATAAGAAATGTTGAAACCCAAAGAAAGGTCTTGTCTCGAGGAATACACCTATGAAATTTGAAAGACCTAGATACAACTGTTCAGAAGTTATGGCGAAGGTTAAAGTTTTTTGAATAAAAGTCAAACGTCAAGGTCAAGGTCAAAGTGGTTGGTATCCAAAGGAAGATCTTGTCACAAGGATTACATATGTGAAGTATGAAAGCCCTAGCACCAACCATTCAAAAGTTATGGCCAAGGTTAAAGTTTTTCAAAAGTAGGTCAAACTCCTAGGTCAAGGTCAAAGGGTCAAATAGGTTGGTATCCAAAGGAAGGTCTTGTCACAAGGATTACATATGTGAAGTATAAAAGCCCTAGCATCAACCATTCAAAAGTTATGGCCAAGGTTAAAGTTTTTCAAAAGTAGGTCAAACTCCTAGGTCAAGGTCAAAGTGGTGGTTGGTATCCAAAGGAAGGTCTTGTCACAAGGATTACATATGTGAAGTATGAAAGCCCTAGCTCCAACCATTCAAAAGTTATGGCCAAGGTTAAAGTTTTTCAAAAGTAGGTCAAACTCCTAGGTCAAGGTCAAAGGGTCAAAGTGGTTGATATCCAGAGGAAGGTCTTGTCACAAGGAATACACATGTGAAGTCTGAAACCCTAAGCACCAACTGTTCAAAAGTTATGGCCAATGTTAAAGTTTTTCAAAAGTAGGTCAAACTCCAAGGTCAAAAGGTCAAAGTTGTTGGTATCCAAAGGAAGGCATTGTCACAAAAAATACACATGTGAAGTTTGAAACCCCAAGCACCCACTGTTCAGAAGTTATGGCTAAGGTTAAAGTCTCATAAAATTTTGCAAAAGTAGGTCAAACTCCAAGGTCAAGGTCAAAAGGTCAAATATGATGATACCCAAAGAAGGGTCTTCTCACAAGGAATACACATGTGAAATATGAAAGTCATAGCTCCAACCAATCAAAAGTTATGGGCAAGGTTAAAGTTGACAACAGACAGACAGACAAACAGACAGACAAACGGACAAACAGACAAACAGATAAACAGACAAACAGACAGACAGGACAAAAACAATATACCCCTGGGATCTTTCAATCCGGGGGCATAAAAAAAAACAAGCAAATTGCATGACTTAAATGAAAAATCTCCTAAAACTAAAGTCTATTTCCATTGGGCTTAGTCCCCAGGATGGTATGGAGCTGGTTTTACATTGAAAAAACATTACGTCTTTGAAAATCTTCCTTACTCATGGACATTTAACAAGCAGTTTGCTTTATTTTAAAGAAGAAATAGCCCTCTATGATAATCGTGACATTCATTTCAAATGGGTCGCTCGCAGTACGTGGTAAGAGCGTTGCAATAGAGTCGCGGAGTAAGGCGTTGATCCTTATGTCGCGGGCTTGAATCCACTACAGAGACCGGTCCTTCGGATGAGATCGTATAATTAAACCGAGACCCTGTGTCACAGTAGGTGCTGGCAAGAAAAAGATCCCTCACTGTTCAAAAGCCGAAAGTGCCGAGTACAGATCTACAGATTTGCAGGCCTCCAACGGCAACTGGTGGCGCGTCTTAATATAAAAATTCTCGAAAGGGCGTTAAACAACATTTCCAATGGTTTCAAGATAAGGCCACTTGATTGCTAAGTTGCTAATGTATTGAACATTTAAGTTCCCTGAACCTTTGAGGAGTTACCTATTACTTCACATATAGGTAGAAATCCGTGTTTTTTCTCAGTATCTACAGGTATTGCTTAGTTGATTGTAACATTGTATTATATACAAGGTTAACGCTTACAAATACATTTTACACAATTGATGCTCTGGACAATTCAGGGACTGAAAGACTTTCCAGACGGTATCCATGTCTTTGGAGTCCAGCAACACGCCCATCTTCTCGGCAAGGCGATAAAAACACGACTTATTCGAGGTGGAGTGGAACAGAAACCGTTAGCAGACGACAGACATTACGACTTTAATTATCAGGATTTCCGTCGAACAAACAGAACACTAAGAGACGTATGTATGATGAAACACTATTAAACAATAAAATGCTTTCTTTGGTTGTTAGTGCGGGAATTAATGTCGCAGCTGTTGCAGAAAATATACATAACCCGCGTAAGCGGGTTATGTATTTTTTCCTGCAATAGCTGCGACGTTATTACGTGGGTTATGTATTTTTTTCTGCAATAGCTGCGACGTTAATTCCCATACTAACAAACAAAGAAAGACATTTTATTGTTTATATCTGCATAAAAAAAAACCATTCAAATAAAATTAAATATGTATTGTATTAGAGATGTGTATGTCACTGTATGCATAATTGATGGAACAGCCTTTGCTCAAGAAATCTATGCAGGTGGCTAGCTTAGTGTCGTTTACTGACTGATGAATGGCAATGGTTTTCATAAGAAATAAAGGAAATAATATTCAGTGGATGTAAATATTTTCATAAATATGTTATTATTTATGATGATTTTTGAATATTGATTTGCTTAATCTCTCTGTAAGCCAACTTCTAATACCCGGTATAAGCTTCACTCTTATTCGAAACATATGACGATATTACAATTTTCATTTTACTAATTAAAATAATTTTCTGAATTACTTTTATGCACATGTACGTGTTTTTTTTTTAATTATGTATATTTTTTTCAGTACCTCCTCCTGCTGAATTTCTCCACTAAAAATAAACTTTTCTATTCTTTTATTAATCTAAATTATTTATACTCAGTAATTATTTATATTTAATTATATAATTTTTAATTTTAAAGCACATTTTTATTTAAAAAAAAAGAAGATTAATCTATTTTAGGGCGACAGCATTATAGTTGAGTGTACCTATGACTCCACTGGACGAACCAATGTAACATATGTAAGTAACCAATGTAACAAAAATAAATAACCAATGCAACCATATGTAAATAACCAATGTAGCATGTGTAAATAACCAATGCAATACATGTAAATAACCAATGTAACATATGTAAATAAAAAATGCAACATCTGTTAATAACCAATGTAGCATATGTAAATAACCAATGTAACATATGTAAGTAACCAATGTAAATAATCAATGTAACATATGTAAGTAACCAATGTAACGTATGTTAAAATCCAATGTAACATATGTTAAAATCCAATGTAACATATGTAAGTAACCAGTGTAACATATGTAAGTAACCAATGTAACATATGTTAAAGGTGCTTAGACACAGATTTAAACTTAATGTTTTCTCACGTTTTCTGTATAATATCACGACTTATATATTGCAATAGCATTTCACACGAAAATATAATTAAAAACTTATTTTATCTGGAAATTATTGGAACTACGAATTTCGGGACGCGTTTGATTAACACATCTTTGCACTTTCACAAATCTTAACTTTATCCTTAATATTTAAGAAAAGAAGCGATTTTGTTATGTATTAATGAAAAATATAACATCTATAATCCAGAAAATTCAGAGTAGAAATGTTCAAAAGCAAAACCAACTCACTAGTATTGTCAGTCCGTGCTTTGTGAAGTGTACAGAGTTTAACAAATTGAACACACCCGTGAAACGTAAACTGTTTCTGTAAACAGGACACGAGCTCTGTTATTGTTAATGTTTACGATTCACCGGATGTGTTCAATGGTTAGACTCTCCACACACCACTGAGCACGGACTTACAATACTGTGAGTGGGTTTTGCTTTCGAACATTTCTACTCTGAATTTTCTGGGTTATAGTTTTAATATTTTTCATTAATACACAACAAAATTGACACTTTTCTTAAGTATTAAGAATAAAATTAAAATATGTGAAAGCGTAAGGATGTGTCAATCCAACGCGTCCAGAAAATCGAAGTTTTAATAAGTTCGAGATGAAATAAGATTTTTATTATATTCTAGTATGAAATGCTATAGCAACATATAAGTCATGACATTATACAGAAAATTTGAGAAAATATTAACTTCAAATCTGTGTCCAAGCACCTTTAAGTAACCAATGTAAGATGTGTAAGTAACCAATGTAACATATGTAAGTAACTATAAATAAAGGATCTGTTAATTATGTAAGTATATATTCCTGTTACAAAATAGATTTTTGTTCTCCCGCTTTTGGTGTCTTAGTGGTTTGGATGCAATGATTTTATGACATATGTCAACTGTCTTGTTTGTAATACTTCAAACTTAAAGATCAAGGTCATGAAGTCAAACACTGATATACCTTTCTGAGAAGTGTTGTCATAGGTACATGTAATTTACATGTAAAATATGAAAGCCCTATCTTCTCTCATCCAAAAGTTCTTACCAATGTTAAAAAAAATTGAAAAAGACTGTAAGTTAAACTTAGAGGTCAACGTCACGAGGCCGAAAACCAGTGTACATTCGGAAAGGTTTTGAAACGGGTAATGCACATGACACATTCAAAAGATATCAGCAATGTTAAAATCTTAATAGAAAATGAGGTCAAACATCAAGGTCATGTGGTAAAAAAAAAAATCATCGTACATTTGGAAAAGTCTTGTCACAGGTAATGCATATGTCAAATATGAATTCCCTATCTTTGTTCCTTCAAAAGTTAGCAGCAATGATAAAAATTTTAAAAATCAGGTGGAACTTGAAGGTCAAGGTCACAGGTCAAATATAGCACTTTAGGAAACTTCTTGACACAGGTAATGCACTTGTCACATATGAATGCCCTATTTTCTGTCATTCAAAAGTTATAACCATCAATGAGAATTTTTTAAAAAATTATGTATGAAAATAAGGTCAAGGTCACGGGGTAAAAACATCAAACCATATTCGAAAACTACTTGTCACAGGTAATGCACTTTTTTCACCCCTGATCTTGAAGTTTTACTTAAAAATTACAATATAACTTGGTTATAACTTTTGAATACGAGAAGATAGGGCGTTAATCATTGACAAGCGCATTACTTGTGACATGAAATTTCTGAATGTGCATTGATATTTGACCCCTTGATACCTTGAAGGTTGACCTAATTATTAAAAAAATTATCATTGCTGCTAACGTTTGGAGAGGACTAAGGGCATTCAAATTTGTTCATTAACTGTGTCAAAACGTTTCTAAATATACTATGATTTTAAAACCATGACCTTGAAGTTTGATCTAATTTTCAAATTTTTTAACATTACTGATAACTTTTGAATGAGAAGAGATAAGACATTTCTTTTAACATGTGCATTATCTGTTTGAGGACCTTTCCAAATATACTCTGATTTTTTACCTCGTGACCTTGACCTTAAAGTTTAACCTATACTCATTTTCATTTTTTCTTTTTTTATAAAATTGATAATAACTTTTGAATGAAAAAAGAAAGGGCTTTCATATTTTACATGTTCACTGTACATTACCTATGACAACACCTTTCAGAAAGATATATCATATCATTTCATCACTTTCTTGATCTAAAAGTTTGACCTGTATAAAAAAAAAACTTTAGCCATATTTTTTGCTCCAGAAGAGACAGGGTTTCATTTTTTTCACATATGCAGCAATATACCTTTATCACCTGCATACGGGGTTTATATCTCTCAATTGATTTGATACACAAGAGCATGCTCTACGTATGACTAATTTCTAAAACAAGGTAGGTTATTGACAAACAAGTTTTGAAACAAGAATATCAGCAGTCTCGTTTAAAGTCATTACTTCGTAAGCTTTATAGTCGATACAATGACCTTGTTAGCAAATACAATCTGTCATTAAGTCAAATGCTGACTGACTTTTTTTCATACTAATTGTTAGGCCATTATTTACACACTGAATTGTCGACGGATTTTTCTGTTATTTCCCGATCATGACAAGGAGCACACGGCGGGTGTGACCGACCGGCAGGGGATGTTCATTCCTCCATGGCACCTGATCCCACCTCTGATGTTTTAGAGGTCCGGTGCTTGCTCTGCTCTAAAATTTGTATTGTTTGATGGACTTTTGAGCTTGAATACTGATTGTTATCACCATATATTTCATGCATTACTTATTACAAGACCTTTCCGATTGTACTATGATATTTGACGTCATGGCCTTGATGGTTTATGTAGTTTTGGGAAGCTTTTATCTTTGGCATAACTGTTAATAATCTATGTCTTTTTGTATGATGGACAGACAAGACAGGATACACAAACAAAACAGCTACAATATGCCAACAATAATCGCATCCCACCCACTAAGACACTGAAAGCGGGAAACCACAATTCTTTGAATATGCTTGTTTTATTTCAATTTCAATAGGCACAAATTTAAAAAAAATAATTATAAAGAGACCAAAAAAAAAAAAAAAAAAAAAAAAAAAAACATGCCTGAGATATCAAACACATTGATAATTTTTCAGACAAGATGTTACAAAAGGGTTATTCTCTACTGTTGCCATAAACAAAAATTGTATATGGCATTTGTGTATTTGTAATTTACTTATTCAATTTTATTCTTTGTCTTGCAGGGAGGATTTTCTACAAGTGAAGAAATGTGTATTTCATTTATATTCCACTATCCACGCACACGACTTTATGACTGTTTGAGCAAACCACTGTATAACAGGTTCCATCATAATAGCAAGAATCAGTGGAGTCTCTTAGGAACATTGGCATCTGAGTTTAATGGCTTTGACTGGAAGAACTCGACTGTGTTCCAAGAGTTTAATGATAGTCTGGCTAACGACTCTTACTTCTACGTATACGGTCACGACAAAAATATGGTATTTTTTTTAAATCTAGCTTGATGTGGATAAAATCTGTCCTATTTTTTTTAAAAAGGCAATAAAAGAAAGGATAGAATCCAAAACAAATTACTTTTAAGATACAGATAGGTACTACATTGTATAATGATGCTGTAGTCTGTAACATAAGAAATCAAGCCAAGTGGATTGCGAATTCTCATAATTTTATATTTGCAACCCCCCCCCCCCGTGTTAAATAAACTCCCAACATCTCAGCATGTTTAAGTTTTAAAGATATATCAATTCAATCAAAGTTTGGGACATGGCAGTCTTTGGTAAAAGAAATTCAAAATGCTAAAACGAAGGGTTTTGTCATCTTAAAAAAAAAGGGGGGGTGTCAAGAAACGGCAAAAATAGGTAGGGTTATATTAAAATCTACAAGAACCACTGAACCATAAAAACTGTTCCAAAGGGTAGGGTGAGGTTGCAATAGGGTATTAAATATGGGAATATATAGGAATAAATCTTAAAAAATCTCCTCCCGAAGAACAGCAGAGTCGTAAATAGTGATATTAATACGCAGGCTTCCTTAGGTAGTGCATATTCATTTTTTTTTCCAAATCATGATCCACGTGTGTTAAATGGGGTGACAGTGAGGATTTTATTTTTGCCTGGGAACATATTGGAAAAAAAAATTTCAAAAATTTCTTCTCAAAACAGCAGAACCCTGACTATTTATAGCGAGCGGCGCGAAGCGCTTCTCGTCACTGCAAGCTCTTAAAGCAACGCCCGGGAGAAGAGAAAAATCAGACTTTACACATTGATCCAAATGATTTTTTTCCGCAGTAACCTGTGGTTCCATAACGTTTTGCGAATTGTATCTCACCGCAAACTATTTTCTCGCGGTAGCAACAAAAAGTTCAACAAAAAAGAAAAACAAATTGATTTTTAAACGAATATTGCAGAAAAAAAGATTAAATATTCTTCATATAATTAGCAATGTTCAGGCTTCGGTTTGGTAAGGCAACTTACATTGACGTCATGTGATGTCAGAGTCTAGACTACAAACTAGACTACACAACCATACAATGTATATGGCATGCTTGTCTTTATTTTCTTTAGTCTCCGTAAACAGCGTCAAAACTCTGCTCGCCGTGTGGAGAAGTCGAATTCAACCATGGAATGGTATGTGCTAATCCCGCACAGAGAACAAAATTAAAAAATGAGTGGGTTTAAAAATTCAATTCCAGTGTTTAAATATTGCATGAGTAAATAGAACTTGTGTACGTCTGATTTTCCCTGAAAACATTAAGAAGTTTATCCGATGTAATTTTAGAAACAGATTTTTAGCCAATCAAAATCTCTGAGGGATTAGCACATACCATTTCATGGTTGAATTCGACTTTTCCACACGGCGAGCAGAGTTTTGACGCTGTTTACGGAGACTAAAGAAAATAAAGACAAGCATGCCATGTATGGTTGTGTATATAAATTATCGTAGAAAACATAGGTATAAACAGTTTGTCAGTGTATTTCCTCTGAAAGTGTAAATGAGTGCGATTCTGGGGGAGGGGGGTACTCCGTGTAATTCGGAGTTCGATACCTTGTTATCTTATTATACTATGGGTTAAAAATTTATTACCGAAACAAGTGCCTGTGATAGATAGACTTCGATAGAATATAAAATCTGACGATTAAAATGATTCCCAAACTCTCAAGGTTAAAATTAATAATGAAATAAATTATTAAAATTTATTTGTCATTTTATTCACTGTTTATTCCACAATCAGTAGAAAGATTTCAGTCAGCCTTTATCTCAATTCTCAGTCAACGTTGTCATCCATTTTGGGATACCGATTCCGATGTATTTTCATAGATTTTAAATTTCATTTTGTATGGTACCTGTACATAATAAAGTTTCAAAGTACAGTGTCAGGCACTCATAAACATGTGATATATATTCTAGTTATCGAAAATCTGCCTCTCAAAATTCAAAAGACAATTTTTAAATTAACTGTTCGAAGTATTTTTGCAAAGGAGGTCAAAGGTCAAGTGGATTGGCATTTTTAAATATCTTATTAAAAACAGTATATATGCTAAATAGCACATATTTACCTCTTAAATTAAAAAAAAAAACTGTATATCGACTCTATAAACTATTTTGAAAAGTTAGTCAAAGGTCAAGTTCACACGTCAAGAGGTCGGTAACCACGGTATTTTACAAAAACTCTAGGGCCAAGCAATATATGTGCAAAATATCAAATTTTAATCCATACCGTAGGTCTTTCAGTTTTCAAGATAAAAGGTGTGACAAACGGACGGACAGACACAAAGACGTAAAGTGTTCCCTAAGGGTCGCTCTGCTCTACAGGCGACACAAAATATCTCTTAAAAATAAGTGTGTTTAAATTCAAATATAACCAAAATTATGTGGGTTCAATTTTCGTTCAAATTATGGACCCTGGGGGTAAGAATAGGGTTAAAATCTCGAATCGATTTTTTTTATATGGCATGTGCATGGATAAAAAATATTTCTCTTCCATAACAGAAATTCTATTTGTATTTCAACATGTTATGACTTACAATGTACCCCCAACAGTTAACAGTGTATCAACCATTGTATATGTAAGCGGTGTAATTTATCCTTTCTTATTTTCTCTTATATATCTTTCTTTGCAGTATAACTACAGTGTCTTCCACCCCCAGACTATGTACCCTACAGTACCTTACACAGAGCAGATAGACACAACCTGTACTGTTTAAACTACTGACTTTGTTTTAAATCTTAGCATGTAACGTTGAGGGTGTATATGTTTATTTTTTTTATTTGAATAAAATATGGCATGCACTACATTATGTTAGCTTATGCATATAAACTAGAGTGTTCCAAGAAACCTTGTGTTGCCTGCTTTGCGACATCATTTAAGATGTAAATAAATCTAAGAGAAGTAAGCTACTTATTTGCTACTGACATTATATTGTTCATGCATTTGGCTGAAAAGGAAAAAAACATCCACAGATAGAAATACTGCTATAGATTACCACAACAGTCTTTCATGCCACAATAAGTAAACTTGAAGTACAAAGGACTTTTTAAACAAAATATTCTTAGCACATTGTTTCTTTATATATATATATATATATATATATATATATATATATATATATATATATATATATATATATATATATATATATATAGTAATCTCGTATGATTTTTAAAATGTATTCAATAAGCACACTAATAATTTTTTTTTAAAGTTTTATGTGTCATATCGCTTTTCATAAGGTAGCTGTAGAACTGTAGCGTTATATTTTATCCACCTCCTAACTGTTTATAGTCGTCTCTACAGACCAATAAATTCGCTTGTTTTGAATTTGTTTTCAGATGGCAAAACGAGTTTATTGGTCTGTAGAGACGACTATAAACGGTTAGAAGGTGGACAAAATATACAGGTTGGTTATAGAATACGTCTAGAATTAAGGGATGAAAAGTCGTTGATTGACCATTGCTGGAAAGTGGCGAAATACATTCCCTAAGTGCGCAGAAAATCTTGGTCCGTAAATTGCACTTTATTTACATTAAGGGATCTGAAGCGTTACGGTCAAAGACTAAAATTATATAAAACCATAACGCTATAGTTCTGCAGCTATTCATAAGGATGTTAGATTAACAATCATGATCAGTAACCAGAAGTCACCTTACTATCGCAGAAGCTCTTCTGGTCTCTGACCAGAAGAGCTAAAAACTTGTAAAAAAAAAATCTCTAAGATTTTCAGTAAATACATATAATTCCTAACGCTATCAGTGATTATATGTACATGTATTTCCTAAAACAGCCAGTATATATGTATTTACTGAACATTTCAGGAAATACCTGAAATTCCTGATTACACATATTTACTGTAACATATATTGAGTTATAGTTAACTTTTGATAGGGCTAGCATTATACATGTATTTCAGGCATTTTCATGCAAAGAAAATGAAACATCGAAGGATAATAAGAGAGATAGAATAGTAATAATTGTATAAAATTTAACAATCAAACAGGAACATGATTCCACAACCCTCAAAGCTACGAAGAATAATGAAATTGAAATTATTTTTTTATTTATAGCCAGGCTCCATAGCTTAAGCTACTTCATGGTTTAGTTACAGGGATGCCGATCTGCGCGGAGTAATCCAACAACCATAAAAATAAATTACGCTTTTCAAATTGATCAGTTCCCATTCTCAAATAATTCATGACGCTGGATTAAACTTTTTAAATTCTCAAATATCAGAAATTTTCTCATGTCCTACAAGCTTTTAAGGAAAAGTAATACCTATTTGAGAGTGAACTTAACTATAACCACTGTTACCGTATGTAAACACAGGCCACGCGCAACACGCAATCAATTTAGTTTTCGCTTGAATTTATACGTGTTTAATCCAACTATCTCCAAAAGATTTCAGTCTGTCTTTACTGCAACTGTATGTCTACAACGATCCCTTTGATATACCGATCCCCATGTATTTTCATAGTATTAGAAATTTTAGTTTGTGTGGTATATAGCATACAATTTTAAAGTAGAGTGCAATGAACTACTAAACATGTAAAATAAAGTATAATAAATTCAAAACCCTGTCTCTCAAAAGTCAACAGACACAAGTTAAATCAGCCGTCCAGAATATTTTTGCAAAGTTGGTCAAAGGTTATGGTCAAGTGGACTTTTACAGTCATGATGTTTTTTATGACAAATAGTGCCTATGCTAAATAGCATAGATTTACCCCTTAAATGTCAAAAATAAGCTGTATATTTGCACAAATGAACTTTCTTGAAATGTAGGTCAAAGGTCAAGTTCAAAGGTCATGAGGTCGATTACCATGGTATTTAACAAAAGCCAAAGTGCCAAACAATATATGTGCAAAATATCAAATTCATACCTCTTACAGTTCACAAGATAGAGGGTATGGCAGACAGACAAATGGACAAAAAGATAGAGGAATAACAGATGGACATTCTTGCCGAACACTATATTCCCTGTCCATTTTAATGGTGGGGCAGAAAGATCTTTATTACATGTAAAGGACTTAGTAACACAAAAAGGCAAAATGTGTATGTTGCTAATCCTGATAAAAGTGTAAACTTCTAACTCTGCATAGCAATCCAAGATGAAACATTGTATCCAAAATTTCTTCTCGATCTTTTTTCACTAAAAAGTTGTAAGGCTTTGAATAATGAATTCTACTTCTCCCATTTTCCGGCTTAGAAGCATCCTCTAATTCTCTTAAATGCTCAGGGTCCAACTTCAAACATGTGAAAATGACCTGGAATATTAATACAACCATAATATATTTATTTTATACCAATAATGTGAAAAAATATTTTTCATGGACTGATTTAAGGATGTTTCATATACATGTATTATTGTCAAAATCACTTGTTTATATGCTACATGTAGTCATTAATTATAATTCAGATACAATTTATAACAATAGTGAAATACTGTAACTTATCTGTTGAAAGATATATTTTTGCAAGTGTTGTACAATGAAGCACATTGAAGTGGTAAAATTTTTCGTTTTAGTGGAAAGTTTGGGTGTTTCTTATCGAACGCCAATTCCTACAAAACGACACGCCCATTTCTTTACAAACGAGAAAGAAATATTCGTCGTGATGCTTTAGGACACCCCCACTCTCTGCCACTAGCAACATAGGTTACACTGAAATGGAGATTTTACAAAGTTAGATGAGAGAGTTAAAGACTCCGCTTCTGTAAAACATGTATTGCAACGAATATGTACATAATTATGAATCTGTTTACTAAAGTTACAACAGATGTATCGGTCTAACACGCATTTACTCGTAGTTTATGTAGACTGTCAATTTGATTGGCTTTCATATTTATGGAATACCTAATATACAGGTATTCAAATGAACCATTTGACCGTTCTTTTTCCTTTCTAAAGAAATAGGCGTGTCATTATACGACAATCAACTTTCTAAAGAGAGCCCAAAACGTTCCATTCATACGGAGAATTTTACCACTTCAATGTGCTTCATTATAATCACAGTGAAAATAACCAATGTGATACTTTCACTGTGAAAATATGAAAATAAAAAACTACAATTTTCACTATCACCAGACTTAACAACACATATAAAACAGTATACACACAGTAAATCCAGCACATTTCTTCAAACTATAATACAATTTTTCTATATGAGTGGAGTATTTGATTCATTTTTTGATCAATTTAACAGAAACATGGAGCAAGGTCTAATACACCTAAAAGTACACTTTTATGCCACAATATTTGTATACCTCTGTCCTTTCCTTCAAGGGTCATATCAAAAACAAGATTTAAATGCCACATTCTTTTATAAGCTGCATGGCATAGCGGTTATTGAGTCAGTCTGTAAGAAGATGTTCATATTCAAAGTTTATCTCTTGGGTTCAAACCCAAAGAAAACCAAAATATTTTTTTATCATGTTAATTTTTGCTGAAAAAAATTTCTGCAGAAAAAGTTTCATTTTTCTTAATTCCATACTTTGCACAATAAGAACTTCAGCAAGGGTGTACATGTATTTGCATCATTAGTGAAGTGTATATGAACATATTTTATTCATTTTTTCAATTAAAAATTATTCTTTCATACTAAAGTATAATAAAAGTCAAAGAAATCCTATATAAATCTTTCTTTAATTACGAGTGATTTCTTTTTTATAGCTTGATATGATTTTTTTGAGGATGATTTTGCCATGCAGGATCAATCTGTACTTCCAACTTTATAGTGGCACTACTGAAAAATGTCTTTTTTTCCCTGTAACCGTAACTACGTTTTTATGTGAGATACTAAAATAAAGTTTAAAGTTGAAAAAATTTTCTTAAGAAATTAATCCAAGTATGATTCATCCTGAATTATCCAATTTTCATTATTTCTTAATTATCTCCCCTTGGAAGAGAGTGGGGCCCTTCTATTGAACAATCTTGAAATCCCTTCACCCAAGGTTGTTTACTCGTTGCATGTTTGCCTATAATTGATCCAGTGCTTCTAAAGAAGAAGTCGAAAATATGAAAAGTTAATGGACTGATGTGCAATTGACAAACTTTTATTAGAAATAGGTTATCACTTCTACAGGTAATAAAATTAATTAAAATTACTAACCGTGGTTTGAATGCAAATTATTCCTAAAACTGTATTAAATAGAACAGAATTCAAGTTTTCCACTAAAAGTTCACCACCATGCTGTCCTAATAATCTGTCTAAAGATTGCCCTTGAAACTTCAGGTCTCTGATATTGAAATCAGGGGCAGATTCCAAATCTTTAAACTTCCACATCTTCATCTGAAATTAAATTTTTATTGTGCTATTTTTAAAATCTATGAATTTGATTATTAACTAGAAGTCTATGATGACATAGAAGCTCAGCTTATTTACACTAAAATAAAGGAAGACAAAACACTACAAGAAGCCATTACCCACAGCGCTCAATTCTGTCACTATGGCCCCAACGTTCTTCATCAGCAGATTTTTCCCCTATATATTCCTATGTAAAACTTTGATTGCCACTTAAGTGGTTATCTTGATGTTATCATAAAGTAATACCAAGTTCTTATAGCCCACTTTGAAAATAGTACAGTTGAAGGTAAAGTTGCACATTTGATGTACACAGCCAAAATAATTCTAAAGCATCTGGAAGAATATGGGTACACCCCACTAATTATTTTTAGAATTGGTAGGGGTAGAAAGTAGTTCATTAAAACAAAATTGTTCCTGAACTTGCAAGCTGTATATAAAATAAGTTGGTAACCTGAACTAAAGATGCTTTATATATATATGAAAAAAAAGAAAATTCAAGTCAGAAAACATTTTCAGTTTTGAAATATCTATGAAAGGAAAGGAATTGTGTTTTTTTTTTTAAAGAGGAATGCCACACCAAAATTTTGTTTCATAGACCTTTAAGACATCCATGATAATTAGTGGTTTCAGCATTTAAAAGGCCAATATTAGCTCTTTAAAATTATTTAATAAGAATTTTTTTCCTATTTTTCATAGAAAATGAAAAAATGTTTTATTTCCTAAAAAGATGCTTTAGGGTTAAAAATTTGCTGTTAATAAATGCATAATATGAATGTCTAATAAAATGTGTTAATAAAGGCTGGATAAACATTTTAATTTTTTAAATAAAAAATTATTTATGAAAATAAAACACATCAATTGTGAATGTTTTTTAAACCTATGGTTAAAATCTTCACAAAAAAGGTCACAACTAGGGAGAATATGTTAGGCAATCATATTTTAAAAAGAAATTGAAATGAAATTGCGAAATTTTAGAGAAATTATTTTTTTTTAATTTTGGCCAATCCCAATCAAAATTAAACTGATCCCAACCAGAATTTTGTAATAATTGGAAATAAATAACATTTTCATAATAATACTATAGCTTGTTTAGGTGTAATACAGGTTAAAAAGAAATTGAACTTGGTAATCAAATAGATTTTTTAGACGTAAATACAAAAAGAAGGCAGTAAATTATTATTTTATTTATTTTGTGTTAATTTTGATCGGGATCAGTTTAATTTTGATCGGGATTGGTCCAAATATTAAAATAATTATTTTCCCTAAAATTTCTCAATTTCATTTCAATTTCTTTTTAAAATATGATTGATTAAGATATTCTCCCTAGTTGTGACTAGTTTTCTGAAGATTTTAACCACAGGTTTAACAAATATTCACAAATTATGTGTTTTATTTTCATAAATAATTTTTTATTTAAACGATTAAAATGTTTATCCAGCCTTAATTTATTAACATATTTTATTAGACATTCATATTATGCATTTATTAATAGCAAATTTTAAACCATAAAGCATCTTATTTGCAAATAAAACATTTTTTTTTTATTTTCAGTGAAAAAATGCCAAAAAATTCAAATAATTAAAAGCTAATATCGGCCCATCTTCGCTAGCCAAAGGTTTCTGATACGCTACTCTCCTCATAAGCCCTTGGCATACGGTGCTGACAAAAGACGGGATTGTTTTCGTCACGTGATCACGATTCTTACCAGGTTCGCACGGATTGCGTCATCGACAGAAATAAAAAGCGTATTTAAAAATATAATGTTTTTAAAGAATAATTAACAAGAAGGTATTGAATTATGTTAATTTGTTATTTAAACATGTTAAAATGCAAATCTACATCTTCAGTATAGATTCTTAATCACATATTTTGCACGTAGCTTAAGATATTGGATGACACCATATAACTATATTCATAGAATGGCATGTTATCTTACGGATCGTTGTTTGCTTGCGTTTTTCATTCCCGATATTAAAGAGTCAAGATATATCCCGAACGCAAATATCGTCATTTACAAAAAACAATTTCTGATTGGTCGAACGATGTCGATCAACTCCAATCACAACTTGAGAAAAAAATCCCAACTTTTTTTAACACCGTATGCCAAGGGCTTATGAGGAGAGTAGCGTATCAGAAACCCTTGGCTAGCGAAGATGATATCGGCCTTTCAATGCTGAAACCCTACTTTAAAAGGGATTTCTTAAAGATCTATTCAATAAAATTTTGGGGTGGCATTCCTCCTTAAAGTATGCCTAACCTGAAATTGTAAAAGCCCCTATTTTTACTTTCATTTTCAGATGTTTTTCAGAACATGTGCATTTTGCTGGAAAATGAATATGACATGTCACCTAAAGACTTAAATCAGTGACAAAGAATTTGAGCTTCCATTTAAGGGATGTCTCATTGTTCAATGACAATAAGGGCAAAGTTAAGTGAAGAAATGTTAACATTGTCACCTATGGGAAATGTATTAGTGGACTGTACCCATATAATCTTCTCTTTTACATGCATTTTCTCAAAGATATGCTCACAGTCCTGAAGGATCTATCACTTCAATTCTATCTGAATAGTTGCTGCTTACCTGATGCTAGAGAGGCTCTGGAAACAACTTGCCTTCAACTGATAGCATTACAACAGCGGCTTGGAAAAACCTTGTAAACTTTTCTGGATGGTGTCACTCAAGAAAATGAACAGTACAAATTCAAAGACATCAAGCTGAAGTCTTCAACGCTAACAGATGAGCAATTCACAAGAAAAAGGAACCAAATAATTGAATCTATGATGAAGCACAATGACAATAGGATTGATGACACTGACACAAATCATCTTTTGCAGGAAATGCAAGTTTTTAACCGTGATAACTTCCCTTCAAAAGATAGCAGTGTATGGTGAAGAAGAAAAAGAAGCACTTTGTAAGTTCTATGCAGGAGACATAAACAAGATTGGATGCAATGAGGGGCATCTGAAGGAGACAGAATGGGCAGCATTAAAAATCTGAATGAAAAGAGAACCACAAGGCACAGCAGTTCAAGATTTCTACAACAGGTTGTTCACTGACCCAAATAAAAAGAAATCCTTAAAGTCATCCTTGTTTTGGCTGAGATTATTTTATGCTTTCTAATATCATCATATCATGGGGGTTCTCAGCTTATAATGGCTAGAATCAAGTCGAGGCTATCTTTTATTCTGATGTGATGATTTAAGGAATAATATAATCAACACAACACTCTTTGATCCATCAATTCAATTTTTCAATTATTTTTCCCATTTTGAGACTGCATGATTTCTTGAGAAGGTTCAAAGGATTTGCCTGAATTTTCAATAATTTGTATACAAATTTTAATTATTTCTCTATTGCTGATGTCTGATGAGAATCTAGTTTGCTGTCGTTATTAATCAGACAGAACAAATAATACCATATACACTAGCCTATAAGTCGGTCCACCTATAAGTCGGTTGTATTTTTTAAGCTTAAATTAGAGGGACTGACCCACTAAAATGCCAGTCTTTTTATAACTCGGGTATAAGTCGGATAAAGAGTTTTGGGCCAAAGTTTAACTCCCAAAAAACCGACTTATAGGCGAGTATATACGGTACTTCATATATTTCTCAACTGGTCATGTTTGAGTGACACAAATGTCCAATCTGCAGCTTTGTTCATTGAACTTTTTATGAAAGATGAATAATGTCACTGCTTAATAAAACAACAAAATGCTTATCAGACTGACAAAACTTTTGCAACAATCTATCTTAGTGAGACTCGACACAGCAAATTGGTTGCTGGGATATAAAAAATAAAAATATGGTATTATTCAATACAAAATTTATTTAGATAATTTTACACCATTAAAAACTAGTTTAATTTGACAGATACTATCAATTGCAATTAAGAGGACAGATCTTTAATCCCTCTGCTAAATTCCCAGGACATATGGATAAGAGATGTTCCTACAGAAATGATTAATGCAACCTTCTTACATTAAACTCACTAATTAATCTTTAACTTGACAGAAGCAATTTGGCTCTTATTAAAATACCCTTCTTATGTCCAACTGAACTCCTTGAAATTCCATGGCTTAGACCATTACTCCTATGGGACAAATGGAGTTAATTTATTTGTTGTTTGATGAATTAGTTAAGACTGAGCATATCCTAGTGAAAATATTATTGCACATTTATGCAATTATTGTTAGAAACAAAATAATTATTAAAAGCAATGTTAATTACCTGCAATATATCATGAAAAAAATGTAACATTTTTGCATTAGCTTAATGCATTACTCTTACATTTGTAGGGATTGCTTACCTTTAAAAATAGCATTTTTTTTCAAATGTCATCTTACATTAAGGTCACAGTGACCTTGATGTTGGGTGCAACACATTTTCTTCACAAGATTCATACTCCGGTAATATACTGAGCAAGTTTGATGATTCTAGGTCAAATAGTTTTCTTGTTATAAGCCAGACTGGGTTTTGCCATATATGGCCATATCATCTTAGTTTAAGATCACAGTGACTCAACTTTTAAGTGCAACACACCTACCCAAGTAGCAACATCTAAAAAGATTGTTGACTTTAGACCTTCTAGTATTGAAGTTATAATGAGCCAGACATGAAAAAGCTAACAAATAGATGGCTGGACAGAGAGACGGACATGAACACTATACAATAATTTGGCCCATCTTAGACGGGTTTATAAAAACCTGAAAAATTTAGTTTTTGAATTTCCCATAAATTTCACTTGTTGCTTTAAGATTTGTAAAAAACTTTCATATATTATTGACATCATATAAACCGTATAAGTCGAATTTTTAGCAAGACACAAATTTAGCAATTTGTCATTTAAGAAACTGTCACTAAAATTAAGTATATAATTTTAGAGAGAAGTTATTATAGCGATTTTATTATGCATAGAAACATAAGGTTACCTCTTGTGTGGAATAAATTGTTAGTGATATTTAAATTTAGGGATCTCAACATCCTAGATAAAAATGCCCAAAATTGAATCCTTGTTAAAAATTTCTGCTTATACAGTATCTTGAATAATGTCCAGTATCATTATAGAATTGGCTTCCGGTTGCAAGACTTCATTTTTTGAAAATTTCCCCCCTAACCAAGCATATCTGATGTGCAGGATAAGGTGCATTCTATGAGGAAGCCTGATGGCTTCAAGAGTTGACATTGAATTTCTATTCTTAGGTCACTGCAAATACCCTTCACCCGAGGATGCTTTGTGGCAAGTTTAGTTGAAATTGGCCCAGTGATACATAAGAAGTCAAAAATGTGAAAAGATAACGGATGGACAGACAGACGTCAGACAAAATGGGATTAGAAAAACTCACTTGAGCTTTAGCGGAACTGTTCTTGGAAAGGCACTAAATAGAATACACAGCCAATTGTAATACACTTACTGTATGCATTATTCAAAATCTTAATCATTAACAGATACCACTTAGAACTCTTACACCAACCTCTCCAGAAGTCACTGTCAGCACAGATGAATTTCTCTGATAAGGTGTACAATCTCCAAGCAAGCTGTATCTTACATCTGGAACACTAGTTGTATCTACACCATTAAGCCTCATTTGCATTTTCCGCTTAGCATCCCCTCTCCTGCAAAATTTCAAAACTATAATACATTTTCTTCTAGTACGTTGATGAAATAATATTCAGCTGTTATCAAATAAATCTGCTTAAAGCTAGATTTATGCATGTTTTAAACTTTCTTTACTCTCATGATAAAATTATCAAATATGATTGATCATGAAATGTTTAAAAAAAAACTCTTCCCCTCATTTGTTATGAAAAAATACAATAAAAGACAGGAAAACATACACACTGTCCTTCAGTTATGTTTTTTGAAAGTTGTTCATTCAAACATGCAACAAAGAAGGACTTGCTATTCTAAGAAAAATTTTTGACATGTCTTGAACCTTGACAATTTTTATCTACAAATACATGTATAAAGCAAAGCCTCATGTTCTGATAGTGGTCTTCCCTAAATGATACATCTGTGCAAGTTGTCTGGGTAGGATTTATAGATCCACTTTAATCTGCATTGTCAACTACTCAGAAAATGCAGGACAAATCCAGCATCAGAAGCAAGTCTGACAGTGTGCATCCTTAGATGTATCATCCATCTAGCTTGTTCATCATTCATCAAAGGGCTTACATTTATTGGGAATGAAACTTGTTCTAAAAAATTTAACCTGCTGAATCATCCCAAAAATGCTGGCCAGATCCAGTATCAGAAAAATTCTGTGTGCATTCCTTGATGCATAATTCATGCAACATGTGCAAGCTAAGTCATCCTAGGGCTTTTAGCTACCAGGGTACTTTGGAATTAGACCTGTTCAAAAAAATTACCCTGAAACATTAACCTGTAGCCCTTTTCACAACATATTTTATGATTAATTTTCATTGTAAAGAAAACATTTTATTTGTGGTCCTTCATCTGAACAAATGTGAATCCCCTTCACCCAAGGATGCCTCGATGAAACCACAAAATTTGACCAACTCCACTTTTTTTCTCTCCAGAAACAGGTCTTTAACAAGATGCAGGGAACAGTCCTTAATGGTTTCAAAAAGACTGGCTGGGCATTTACTGAGAAAAAATAAAATTAAAGAATTTTCACTTTTCATCTGTTTCCATGGCAATGGTGGCCATTTTGAAAATTAAAATTTTGATTTACAGTAAGAGTTGCTGATTATCATTGCTGTAAAGTTTCATGGATTGTTAAAGCTTTCTGGATGGAACAATTAAAGTGTTACCTAGAATTTGTTTGGACAGCTAAAGCTACAAACTTTGTGCAACCACTTCAATTTCTTTTTCTTTTTTTTCCAGAAATCACACCATGAAAAGAACAATCCTATGAAGTTTCAAAAAGATTGGCTGAGCAGTTACTGAGAAAAATGAAATTAAACAATTTTCACTTTTTATGTTTCCACGGAAAGTTAGCCATTTTGAAAATTCAAAATGTTGACTGTTAGTGTACAACTAGAGTTGCTGATCATCATACCGGAAAGTTTCATTAAGATTGTACCAAGTTTCTTCAAAAAGCAGTAACAATGTCATCACAACCACATTTGGGATGATAAGACAGAGAATGGTCAGAAAACTTGACTGTAGCCCTTACATGAAATGTCCTCCAGAAATCTCACGTTTCTTGTAAAATGTGCATTTATTTCATGAATTGGGACAAAAAAGAAACAAGTACATGGAAAATCCCTCCATAATGTTTAGTTAAATTCTAAATTTGTTTCAAGCATTTATAACATAAACTTACAAAGGGTTCAACAGGAATATCTTGCTGAAGAATATTAGAAGCTGACTGAATTCTCCATTCACTCCAGATCTTCTCTCAGTATTCAATTCTTTTATTAGGCCAGAGTAATAGTGAACATACTCCGAAATCCCAGTGCCCCATATGCTAAATATGTACCTATAAAAATAACAAGAGGCCCGAGGGCCTTAATCGTCACCTGAGTATAATACGACATTGTAAAGGATCCATAGAAGTATAAAACTGGAGGTACTGTGAGCAAGCTTACAAAATAATACCCCCTGCTACAATTGTTTTTAAAGTGTCCATTCAAATTTTGTTAATGTGATCTTGAACTTGCCAAAAAGTTAAAGTGCCCCGCCACAGCATGATACGCCCGTCAAATATTGTTCAATTGTCATAACAGTTCAGAGTGCAAGAAAATCATGTCAACCTTGATACAAGGATTTCAATGATTTTTCCATTCCTTATAATATTTGTTTATACATCTCCTGTGGTGTAGGCATTAATTATAACAAATATTACATTATAGATCCTCAGCTGGTTGTGTTAGAGCTTGACAAATGCCCATCTGCAGCCCCCCCCCCCCCCCCCCCCAGCTTTCAGATTTGTGAGACATGATGCTCTGAATTAGTTGATATTTTCAAAAAATTCAATAAAAATATCATATTAAACAATATCAATTTAGTCTTAACAACTTAATCTATATCAAATTAATATTAAAAATAAAAGGCTGGCCATCAAATGACATATGCTACAAACTAACAAGCAGTTCTTCTGTCTAATTTCCAAAGGATACAGATAAGAGCTGCTTGATCAGAGATCCTCTAAAAGAAATGATTGAGACAGCTAGCCTTCCTACCCTGAACTCATAAATTAATCTTTAACTGGATGCATGTCCACTCATTACTCCCAACGGATGAATGGATCTATACATACTATATCTGCTTTGTAGTGCAATAAAAATGCACATTAATGTCATTCTGAAATTAAATTTGAAAACAAAGATTTTTTTTTAATTTGTTACAAAGATTTATAAAAAGAAAAAAAAACTTGTGTAATCTTGATGCAACATTTTTAACATTTTTGTTGCATTACCCTTAGATTTGTAGGGACTATCTACCATAATTAAACGTTTTTTTAAATACTTGATTTTTTTCAGATTTAATGTCAGACTGGTTTTAAGCCGCAATTCATTCCAATATCCCCCCCCCCCCTCCCCGGGTATAATTAGCTTTAATTATATTATACAATATCAAATTAATTTATTATACAATATCAAATAAGTTTTAATTTCGTTTCATCAAATATTTTAAAAGTTAGGCTAGCCAACTATTTAATCCAACACAGCTGATTCTTTTTGCCTAGTTCCCAAGAGATATAGATAACACCTGCTTGATCGGAGATGCTCTACCAGTTAGCCCCTCACACTAAACTCAATTAATTTCTCTCTAATTTGACGTGCAATTTTCTGTTATCAAATTCTCCTTGACCATTGCTTGATAATTACACCCCTGGGAGAGGTGGAATTTCTCTTGTAACATTACATTTGTTATAGACTGCTGTAAAGTATATAATGAAAAAAAATAAGTATTTTCTTGATTTAACATTTTTTTTAATAAGGATACTGCAACGCTCTTGCATTTTTTTGGATTGTTAAATATATGGAGATAACGTAACAGTATTCAAGCTCAAAAGTCCATTAAACAATACAAAATAGGAGCAGAGCAAACATGGACCTCTTAACATCAGAGGTGGGATCAGGTGCCATGGAGGAGTGAGCATCCCTGTGATCTAATAGTAAAAAGACAGTTTTTTTTTATTTCACTTATATTAAAGGTCACAGTGACCTTGAAATAGGTTGCAACACACCTTCTACCCAAGATGCATAAATCGGCCAAGTTTGATGATTCTAAGTCTAATAGTTTTCTAGTAATGAGCCGGACAGGATTTTTCCATATTTGGCCATAGCATCTTAATTAAAGGTCAGAGTGACCTACTTTTAGTGCACGACACACCTTCTACCCAAGAAATATCAGCTAGCTCACAAAGTTTGATAATCCTAGGCCTAATAGTATTAAAGTTGTAAGCCAGACACGAGAAAAGCTAACAGACAGACAGACGGACATGAACGCCATAACATAATACGTCCCGTCTAAAGACGGGCGTATAAAAAAAAAATATGACCTTTTTCTTTCAAATCTAATAAAGCAAATTTTAGGTCTTTGAAAACAAATTAAGTCCACAGATGTTAGTAAAGAATTATTTTAAGTAAAGAATTATTTTACATGTAAATTTAAATAAAATCAAGTTAATTAACTTTTAAATTTTAAACAATCGTTACTTCCAGTTTGATATGGATTTTTGCCTGCCGGTCCGATACGTGATATGGATTTTTGGACCGGTCCTTGATATGTGGTATTGTGACGTCACCCGTATTGCACAGTGCAGAATCGGTGTATTTACTACTAAGTATATGATAAATTGTATTTATAAATGATTTCTTAGCAGTATTCATGAATTAGCGCATCATTGTCTGCACCAAAGCTGCTAAAATATGAAGCCCACTTTTTTAAGAACACATACAGTATCATCATGATCATTTAGTCAAGTCATGACACACCCTCGGGTCATAAACAATCTTTGTACCAAGTATGAGCTTGCGATGCTTCTCTATTACAAAGTTTAATAGCCCAGATAAGATTGCACATTCAGACACCTTTGTTTATCATAACTATGCACTAGCTTCCTTTGTTTGCTTAATATCCAGGAGCAGAGAAGATTTTCAAAAAAATAATGCACATTCACTATATAAGGCCAAACAAAAAAATATGTGTGGTTCTGGTTACACCTCCAAAAAAATTAGGGTAGGTAGGTAGGGTCTTTTTTTAAAAAAAAAAATGATTTTCTTAATTTTTTTAAATAATACCTATCACTCCTTTGCAAATGGCATTTACCCGGTATATGTGGTGTGATAATATACTAGTCAATATTGGTAGGGGACACCTACCTGCTAGCTTGCTTTGGATTTAACACTATTAAACACTTGCACTATGTTTTGCAAGGAGGCAGTCATTGCTGAAACTAAAACTTAAACCGGAGCCACTGATAGAAATCTGGGAAAATTCCGGAAAAAATATGAAAATTGCTGAAAAAAAGTTTAAGGTCGGGGGTATAAAATAGGGACGGTCGGGTAACCGGACCCACACATATTTTTTTATTTGGCCTAATCACTAGACCCCCCCCCTCCTCCTCCAAACACCAGAATCCCTGACCCAGGAGCCACAAATTTCACAATTTTGGAAGAAGCATCCCTGCTCTTCATAACTATGCACTTAGTTTATCTGCTAAATACATAGAGCAGAGAAGAAGATTTTTAATGAATTAATGCATTTTCACTATATAATCTGTTATCAGTAGAGCCCCCACCCCAACACCAGAACCACTGACCCTATGGCAAAATTTCACAAATTTGGAAGAGCTACCCTTGCTTATCATAAAACCATCTCCTATAAATACAGGGGGAGAGAAGAAAATATTAAAAGAATTTTCACTATATGATCTAGAGAACCCTTCACCCAGGGGCCATGAATTTCAAAGTATTGGTAGAGGGCTTAATGATTTTTTCAACCATGCCAACAGTTTGACTGCTTGGTGTTCAGGAGTAAAGAAGAAGATTTTTAAAGATTGCACTCATTTTGGAAGATTTATTAGCCCCTCTCCTCAGGCTGCCAAGGGCAGGGACCAAAAAATTCGCAATCTTTGTTCTCCTTCACCTACAGATGATATAAAATGATTGAAATTGGTTCAGGAGTTCTTGAAAAGAAGCTGAAAATGTTTAATTAATAACACATGACAAACGATGAGGGACAAAACCAGATAGCAATAGGTCACCTGAGCGACTCAGGTGACCTAAAAATAGAAACTGGCTATTAAAATTAGTCCAACCACCTGGCTATCATTTGAGGTGTTGTCCCCGCTCACCTAAGAAAGAGACCGCCTCGGGTGGTGGGATGGGTTATAATTGCCAACATTATTATGATTATATTAAAAATGCATCATATATATTATTAGTTATCCAGGTCCAATCAAGGGTGTATGGGGATTTACCCCAGGTTTTATTCCATACACCCTGAGGCCGAAGGCTGAAGGGTGTATGGAATACAACCCGGGGTAAATCCCTGTACACCCTTGATTGGACCTGGATAATGAATTTATTTCCTATGTACTCAAATACAAGTCCAATCAACTGTGTTTCAATCTATCTATAAGATTTACTATGTCCTACAATGCATCGTGACGTCATGTTATTTGCTTTTTATCATAGAGAAACTATGCATTGTGACATCATGTTTTTTACCCCTGGCTCAAGTCGGGTGTACAGAAATTTACACCCGACTTTGTAACCAATCAAAGCTCGTGTTACCAGCTACATAGGAAACAAACATAAATGTTTATGGTCAAGAACAGTGCACTTTTTAATGTTAAAAGATAAAAATATGGATCAAAATCTGTAAATAAAACCAAACCTGGAAAGATAATCTAATGATGATGGAGATCCAATCTTCATCAACATTTCCTCTTTAATTTTTGTTACTGCTTGAAAACTTTTGTCAAATTCTTTTCTATAAACACTTGACTCCAATTGTGACATATGACCAGCATCTAAGCTTTGCATGCATTTTTCCGTTGATTCTATCAGACATTCCTTAATCTCAAGAAGTTTAGTCCAAAACACTGCATGATCCTTGATACCTTCAAATACTATTGGATACAAGTCTTCCAGGGATGATTTATATAACTCTGACAATTCTGTTGCCTTTTCATCATATAAGATTCCAACTGATTCTAACACACAAATATCCCATTTTGAAACATGATTTCCACAACACCTCCCATATTTCACTTCAGAGTTGTAACTGTCATCACTTTCAAAAGATCGAGATTGCAATCGAGAGCTTGAGGTTAATTTTCTTTTTTTCCGTCGTGGTTCTGAAGGGGATAAGAAATTCAGTGGTGATTGTGAAATGGAGCTTGAAGGGCTAGGATTCCATGAATCTTCTTCCATTGTTTTCTGTTAATGTAGCACTTCTTCCTAAAAATAACAAGAGGCCCATGTACTGCATCAGCTTTTTTTTTCCCTTATATAACGGTACATATATTCCTGTATAAAATTTTGACCGTCTTTTGTGACCCCATAGCATGATTTGAACAAAATGAATCACACTTCCAGAGGATGCTTCCACTTTATTATGATTCATCATAGCTTTGGTGTTCTTGAGTAGAGGATTTTTGAAGATTTTTTCCTATATAATCCCTACTGTAGCCCCACCCTACCCCGGTGATCATGATCTGAACAATTTTAAAATAATCTAAACTACCTCAAGAAGCTTCCACATAAGTTTCAACTTTTCTGGTCCAGCAATTCTTAAGAAGAAGATTTTTAAAGATTTTTCCTTTATATTTCTATGTAAAACTTTGATTTCCTATTGTGCCTCCACCCTAACCCTGGGGACATGATTTGACCAATTTACTGTCTACACTACCTCAGGAAGCTTCCCTAGACCTGCTAAGGGGAAGTGCTGAATGCGGCCCTGTACCCTTGAGTCAGAAAAGCATGCCATCAAATTTTCGTTAATTCTTATTTATCTCCCCTTGAAAGAGGGTGTGGCCCTTCATTTGAATAAATTCAAATCTAATAATGCACACAGAATGCTTTGTGGTAATTAAGTTTGGGTGAAATTCAATTGCCCTAGTCATGGTAGTGGTTCTTGAGAAGTTGAAAAAGTGAAAAGTTTACAGACAACAGATGGACGCCAGACACCTTTCACAGCAGACAAGCTCAGTTAAGCCCTTGGCTCAGGTAAGCTAAAAATTTAATGGACAAATAAACAGACATTCAGATGACCTAAACTTCATATATATGATACCTATATAATGTTCTGTGTCTGAGAGTAATAAATGAAAAAATTGTAAGACTTGTCCCTTTAAGTTTCATCTTTTTTGTGTTTGTGTTTTTTATGTGAAAATTTTTGGTTTGTGTGATTTATGATCATAGTCGTTAACTTTCACATAAAATAAACAGGCCCGTAGAACGCATATTTTCCTTATGACTGACGTCCTTACTAAATTAGTATATAACTTTGTTTTATAATGCTAATATTCAGTATTTAATTCAAATTAAATGATTTTCATTTAGTACTCAATTTTTATGCTTCTTTAATATTTAATTAAAACTGGGATAAATTTGATAAACATGCAATCTTCTTGTTGCATGTATAACATAACTGTAAAATAACTCAGTTTATTTGTTTTCACGTTCATATTCTATTCATTGTTTGTAAAATGAGGAAAGGATCTATTAAGTTGAAAGAACTTGTATCCAATCCTTTGAAGTGAATTTCAATAAATCATTGATGTTCAAATCAATTTATAATGATAATTCTAATTAATTTATTTTTAAATCACTTTCTTTTAATCTTGCATAATTGTGATATAAGGAAGTGAAAATAATTAATGAGAATTTAGGAATTAGTTTATTTACTAGATGTAGAAATACTGTAAGTTAAACAATGTAAGATCAGTGAATTGGAATTCAGATTCAAATTACTAGGTCAGGTGTATATCACATGTATACAAATTATACCATGTGTGAACCAAACAGGTGTTTAAACAATAGGAGTTGATTATACCACCATGCCCAGGTGTCAGCAAGTGTATACACAAGATGCTTCCCTGTGTGAAATTGAAGATGCCTGACTTGTATCAGGTTCACTAATGATTTTTAATGAAAGAGGCACAACATATACAATAAAGGCAGAAGATTTATAAGATTAAACTAGATTCAATATGTAAACATATGTATTTATATAGTTAAAAGCATTTTTAAGAAACCAAAACATGAATCAGATGACATTTACTATGTTACAGTGTTTCCCTTTGTTTTGTTAAATTAATTAATCCACATCATTAATATATGTTAAGTTCAATTGATACCAGCATGATACATGAATAATTTATTGCACAAATTGTGTCTAACAAATTAATGTACACACCATATGAGAGACAATTTTATTTTATTACTTATAAGGTGATTGAAACTGTGACAAATTTCCAAATTCTCAAAAAATTCATTAAGTACTTGATCCATCTGCATGAAGTTGATAAACATGCAATCTTCTTGTTCAAATTAATATATATTGCATGTATGATATAACTGTATAACTTGTCTCAATTTATTTGTTATGACAATCATATTTTATACACTGCTTGTATAATGAGGAAAGGATCTTTTATAATTAAGTTGAAATAACTTGCATCCTGTCCTTTTCGAGATTTATTTCATTAATACACAGAAAAAAAATAATAATAAACACAAACAAATAGAAAACAAAATCCCCAGTTTCCAAACATTGTTTACGATAAAAATTGATCAATTGTATATCAATGTTATTCCATTGATATTTACAATAATTTATAATTGATAATTATATTTTTTAATCATTTATTCCTTTATTCTTGAAAAAATAAATGTTTTTCCTCATAAATAATAATAATTGTATAATGACTGAAACATTTATAACATATCTGTAATTTATAAGACAAAAAAAAAAAAAAAACACACAAAAAAACCAAAAAACCAAAACAAAAAAAAAAAAAAAACCAATCGGACGTGGTATAGGCAAGCGGTAAATCTAGTCTTCCCGACTCCCGACGCCCGACTCCCGATGGTCCCGGATTTTGGTTTTTTTTGGCGATTTCTTTTTTATCGATGCACAGAAATTCTTCAAACTTTTCAGGCACATTTTCTAAGTTTAAACGAATTCATTAATACATAAAACCTTAACAAATTTACGTTTTTAATACTGAATCAGCAGTATCACCTGCCAAAAAGCGATAAATCTAGTACTCTGTTATAAATGCGAAAACCAAAAACGGACATCGATACATAACGGAGACGTGGGTTTTCGTAGATATTAAAGATATGAAAGATAATAAAAAAAAAATTATTGATATTAATTGGGAAGATATTTTTTCTCAAAAAGATGGATTAAGTATTTCAGTGAATGCGGGAATAATTGCATGGTGTTATCAATAATAATAAAAAAAAAAAATAATTCTATAATAATCCATAACATCAAAGTGATTTTAAAGTCAGGTTCCTTAAGACATTTTTAATCATAGAAAATTTATTTAATACAATTATCACTTCAGTAACTAAAGCTATATTTTAGCAATGTCAGCTTGGGTAAAATAATTAAATTCCTAATCATCTGATACAGTTCAAAGTGAAGATACAGTCCAAGCTATTATAGTAACTTGGTTGTGCCAGGGAATACCCTGAATACTGCTAGATGATTCATAAATCGTATGCATGTTATTTTAAAATCTATTGCATTTCGTTAAGGTAAACATATAATTAAAAAAGCAAACGTAATTCCAAAAGATGTGGCTAAAATACAATATATAATATTTTAATTAGATTGAAAATTATAGAATATTACATTAAAAAATGTTCTAGAAAACAAATTTCTTCCGATATAAAGCTTTTGAATTTAGAAAGAAACGATTGTATAATTAACTATAATTAAAAAAAATTAAAAGAAGAAAAAAGAAAGGGAAAACTTAAAATAAATAAATAAAAAGTTAATTCACATTTGAAAGAAAAAGAAGAAAAAATTAAATAAAAAAGGGTGAGGAAGCTCTGGGGTAGAACCACGTCCACGTCGTAGAGCCTGGGAACACAAACATGTTGTGGCAAATTAAGAGTTCAACAAGAAAAGAAAAACAGAAAATGTGGGGGTTTTGTGCATGAAAATTAACTGGCATGTAAATGAGGTTTTCCTCTTATTTCTTTAAAAATCTATACTTCAATTTGTTGTATTTAATCGCAATTCTACGAAAACATCGATGTCCGTTTTTGGTTTTCGCATTTCTAACAGAGTACTAGATTTACCGCTTTTTGGCAGGTGATACTGCTGATTCAGTATTAAATACTTAAATTTATAAAGGTTTTTATGCATTAATGAATTCATTTAAACTTAGAAAAGGTGCCTGAAAAGTTTGAAGAATTTCTGTGCATCGATAAAAAAGAAATCGCCAAAAAACCCAAATCCGGGACCGTCGGGAGTCGGGAAGACTAGATTTACCGCTTGCCCGTGGTATACGGTATACTATGAAACCCGTCAATGGCGGCTGACTTTCTCCAATATTTACGATAAAATGGGCTCTAAAACCTTAGGGGTAAGGATTGACCTCAAAAAGTTTATGTTTGTGGGGTATTAGTATCCGTATCAATCAATATCCACAGTCATTGCAGTATTTCATTAATCATTTCGGCGCATTCTACTTACATTTCGGTACAAACCCGACATTTCGGCGTTTCGATGCACCGGCGGGGAAGGGGGAGCACTTTTTTCTGAGTTTAGCATGCTTTTAGCTAAGGTGCATCAGCGTTAATAGATTTCACTTTTGTGGGATCCTGACATACATGAATACCATACCTACATAAATCTAAAGAAAACCAATCAGACCGACAGACTGTTAGTCAGACATTAATGATTATGAATCGAGTTCGTTCTTCTGCCCAAGATGCACGAGGTAGGGCATAATGTCCCGATAGTATAATGCCCTGATTGACCTGATCACATACATTGTTATATATTCTAAAATATGAAGTTGTAAAGTCCAAAAAAAAAAAATACTTTTAACTGATTAGAATCCAGATACTCCTTTTCTATTAGATTCATGGAAGAATTTTTTTTAAAAATTTTGTTCATATAACAAGCAATTAAAATTGATAATGATCTGATATCAGTGATTTTTTTTTGTTTTTTAAACCACCACCCCCTCCTTTTGAATTGGGAAAAATTAGCGACATTTTCCTCAAATTGGGAAAAATCATTTATAGTAAATTAGAATGCCAAAAATTACATAAAATAATCAAACATAAGTAACAACAACAGTTTTTGTTTGATTTTATCTTTAAATTTGATTTAAATTCATAAAATAATCATTGAAAAAAAATTAACATGAATATTTTATTGAATCTGAACATGGCTTATATTAGTCACACCTTGTATCTATTTTCTTGGAATTGCTTTGTCTAATTTCATAAAAAAACCCAGCATTTAGACTCATAATTTAGTAAACTGTCTTATATTGGTAATCAAGTTTACATTCTTTACTGTTTGTTTGTTCCTGATTTTAGAGAAACCCTGTAGTATTGACCATTTCCTGATATTAGCCTGACCCTCTATGTAATAATGGCGGTCAAACCAAATTCATTATGTCAACATGCAAAATGACTTGTATCTGGGAACTATTTACCAATTCATTTAGGATATTATAAGCTACTTATCTGCTTATATGGATATCTGCATTGTTTTATACATTCATTAAAAAAATCGGCTGCATATGCATGGATTTGGAGAATGAAATTGAAGAATAAAAACGTATTTACTCTGTCAGCAAATTTAGCGACTTTTGTTCAAAATTAAAACGTAATTTCCGTATGTTTGAAATTGGGAAAAATATACTAATAATTGGGAAAAAATAGCTAATTTTTGTGAGGGGAAACAGCCGAATATCGGTGGCATTTTGACCCAAAAAAAAATCACTGGATATATGAAAACCTATAATAAAAGCAAAAACTTCTCCATTATATTTGTTTCACGTTCAAATTTAATTTATTTAGATATGATACATAAAAATTATACAAAGAAGTTTTACAGAAAATATTATCTATCACAGGTGTTGGAGGACAGGACACCCCACCCACCCCCATATTGACCCCGGGCCTTTTCAATTTTTTTTCTCAATAATTAAATTTGTTCGCAGTGCCGATATACAACATATACAACCTTGACCTTTGACCTACTTCTCAAAATAGTTCACAGTGCCGATATACAACATATTTTGAGATTTAAAGCTGATTGTTCTTTAATAAAGCTACAATTAAAGAAGCCTTTTTAAGCAGGCGACACGTGCGTTCCTTGGAACACTCTAGTTATTTATTATATACCCAAATGTTTGTCACTCAGTTTTACTGTTGAATTTATGCAATCACGTGAAGGTGTGACCCAACGTTCCAGATCACCCACACTGTGGTTCACACCTCTCTGAAACTGATGACGTAGTACACAGATAAATGGCGTTTTTATTCTCACGCATCAAAAAGTTCCTTGACAAAATGGTTTGATAAATGTATAAAAGTTATGTAATTGATCCAAAAAGTTTCCTTTTATTATATTTTGCTAGTTAATTAATTTATTATTATAACAGTAACTTGATCCGAAGAGCCGTCTCGTTTGATCTGATGATCCGCGCCTGTCAACTTAACGTGATACGGCTCTTTGGACTGTTGGATCAAGTTATACTGTTATAATAATGCATGTGATGCTTATATTTCATTGTATGAACCATACCAGTAATTTAATTGTTAGTTGAGAACTTTTGCAAGAGAGGATCAGGTCAATACTGCACTTAGTAATGGTGCACCTTAACACCTGTGACAAAATTCAAACTTGATCTGTAGTTTGTACTATGAAGCTACCCAACAAGTTTCAAATCCATTCTAAAAGCCTGAATAAAAAAGTGTGAAAAACCATGTGGGACAGACTCACAGACGGACAAAGGCCGGGTAAAGTAATCCATTAGTGTCGCTCTTTTCTACAGGCGACTCAATATTGAAACTAAAAATTATTAAAACTATTATAAAAGTGCACAATTCATCATATCTTTGATTAGAAGCAATACATGTAGTTCCAAAATATGTATCTATTTTGTTCACAGAAGCATGTTAGGTTGAAAAGAGTTGTATTCTTTTGAACCCAACATTAATGTCAGACGATACGTTCCTCAGATATCTGTTTTGTATATCTTTGTAATATATAAAAAAAATGTGTAAAATTATCATTACCTTATGATTTCTAAACTGGTTTTTAATTGTCTTTAAAAAATCCAAATGCTAAAACCTTTGATATTGGCAATTTAAGTTATTTGCAAAAGGATTATATAAGAAAACCATCATCTGATATCTTGCACAAATGTCTGGTAAGGTACCTCAATTTTTTGTGAGTAAATATGTTCAAGTAGCAATACTTCAATGACAAAATTTTAGAAAAAATATATATATTATTGAGAAACGTATCGTCTGTCCTTAAGTTAACAAGAGGCCCATGGGCCACAACGCTCACCTGAATAACTTTGGCCTTGCTGTTTTTCACCTGATTTCCCCCCTTGTAGTACTTATTGTGGCCCCGTCCTACCCCAAGGGGTCATGATTTGAACAATTTAGAATCTACACTACCCCGGGATGCTTTCACATAAGTTTCAGCTTTTCTGGCCAAGTGGTTCTTGAGAAGAAGATTTTTAAAGATTTTTACTACATATTTCAATGTTAAACTTGGATTCCCTATTGTGGCCCCGCCCTGCCCCGGGGGTCCTGATTTGTACAATTTAGAATCAACACTACCCCCAGGATGCTTTCACAAAAGTTTCAGCTTTTCTGGCCCAGTGGTTCTTGAGAAGAAGATTTTTTAATGATCCCGCCCTATTTGTGTCTTTTCTTGATTATCTCCCCTTGGAAGGAGGTTTGGTCCTCCATTTTAACTATTTCAACTTCCCTTAAACTACCAAGTTTGGTTAAAATTGGCCCAGTGATTCTTAAGAAGAAGTTGAAAATGTGAAAAGTTTACAGACGGACGGCCAGACGGACGCACGGACAAGGGGTGATCAGAAAAGCTCACTTGAGCTTTCAACTCAGGTGAGCTAAAAATGAACTGGGTCCATTTTTTAAGTATGACTTGGCCTTTTGGGTACTGATTATGTACTAATTAAAGGAAAATATCAAATTAAATCAATATAGAGCAATGAAAGGAACCACATTTGGGGTCCACTGACCGAAGCAAATTTGAGAAGACAGTATAATTGTTAGAGAAAATTAATTAAAATAATGATTACTGTCAAGACTACCAAACACAGTGTAATAATGAAAGCCTTCTCTGGTCTTTTTTTTTTTTTAATTTAATCGTGTTTTAATGGAAACACACACAAAGAATTTGAAAGGTTTTATCAAAGAAAGAAAAGCTTGACCTCGCCAATATTCTATGTATTAAGGTAATTTATTTGTATCTTACAGAAGATAAGGCGGGTCTCCAAAGCTTCATCGATGATTGATTCCGTCCTATTACCTGTGTAAGGAGCTTAAGTCGTAGACATGTTAAATTAGTATTCGCCGAATTATTAAGACGAACTATCAAGATTTCTGACAATTTTTCTCCAGCAAATTCGGTCCAAAATACTTAGGTAATAAATAACCAGAGTTTCAATGCTAGGTGGGTTTTTTTTTTATTTCCTCGTGAATTAAATTAAACTCCTCATCATGAAAAGAGATAAATTGAATGTAGTAATACCGATAAAAAGAGGACAGAACCATGGCCTAAGGAATCGGGGGGAGGGGGGCGGTTCTCCAAACATTTTTCCAATTTATAATTGAAAACATAGCTACGTTATGATGACTTTTTTATGCCCCCGTATCGAAGATTCTGGGGTATATAGTTTTTACCCTGTCCGTCCGTCTGTTTGTCCGCAAAAACTTTAACCTTGTCCATAACTTTTGATTGGTTGGAACTATGACTTTTATATTTCATATTGTGTATTCCTAGTGACAAGCCCTTTCTTTGGGTACCATCATATTTGACCTTTTAACCTTGACCTTGGAGTTTGACTAACATTTGCAAAATTTTATGAGACTTTAACCTTGGTCATAACTTTTGAACAGTTGGTGCTTGGGCTTTCAAACTTCACATGTGTATTTCTTGTAGCAAGTCCTTCCTTTGGATACCAACAACTTTGACCCTTTGACCTTGACTTAGGAGTTAGACCTACTTTTGAAAAACTTTAATCTTGGCCATAACTTTTAAACAGTGGGTGCTAGGGCTTTCATATTTAACATGTCTATTCCTTGTAACAAGACCTTCCTTTAAATACCAACAACTTTGACACCTTGACCTAGGAGTTTGACCTACTTTTGAAAAATTTTAACCTTGGCCATAACTTTTGAACGATTGGTGCTACGGCTTTCATATTTCAAATGAGTATTTCTTGTGAGAAGTCGTTTCCTTGGGCACCATTAATTTTGACCATTTGACCTTGACCTTGATGTTTGACTTACTTTTGAAAAACTTTAACCTTTTCCATATCTATTCAGTGGTTGCTGCTTGAGCTTTCATATTTCACAGGTATATTCCTCGAGACAAGACCTTATTTTTGGTACAAACATATTTGATTTGCATTTGAGAAAGTTTAACCTTTGCTAAAAGTTGCCATACGGGGCATCAGTGTTTTACAAACACATCTTGTTTTGTTCTTCTTGTAAAGGAATTTTTGCTTCCATACTCCCCCCCCCCAACCGAAAATGTTTGGTCGTGCCCCCCCCCCTGATTTTTTTTCCTACGGGTCTGAAAACAGGTTCTGCACTCTGAGATCGACGATTAACACGATTAACAGCACATATTTCTAGACTTTAGTTGAATTCTAATACCCATGCAGTAATGTTGGGCGGACATAGGATACCCTTTTTTCTTTCAATTTGACCTGGCATCCCATCCCACGCCCCCGTTAACTGTTCTCCCTCCCGTTTCCCCTTCTTCCTCTTTTTCTTAGCTCTTGCCATCCTTTCCATTATCTCACCCCCACTCCTTCTCCCCCTGTTTAATTCTACTATTTCCCATATTACGAATAGTAGTCAGCGTCTTCAGATGAGTGAAAAATTCTCGAGAGGGACGTTAAACAATAAACAAACAAACAAACAAAAACAAACGAACAGTAGTCATAATATGAGATGAGCAGTACAAATTCTCTCAGTTTGGCGGGGAGTGGGTTAATTTTTACTGGTAGTTCATGCTGTAACCACAATAACAGAATACCCCAATAATTGTCCCCCGCTTTCGCGAAAGCAAAGGGACATTAAATCTCATTCGTCTGTCCGTCTGTCACAAAAATTTTAACCTTGGTCATAACGTTTGAATGTGAATAGGACTTCTCATTATATTTCACATGTGCATTACCTGTATTAAGACCTTTTCAAATATACTATGATTTTTGACCCCGTGACCTTGACCTTGAAGTTTGATCTACTTTTAAAAGTTATCTTTCCTTACAACTTTATAGAGAAAAGATAGGGCTTTATATTTGACATGTGCATTGCTGTAACAAGATGTTTCCGAGCATGCTATAAATTTTTACCCCTTGACCTTGACTTTCATGTTTGACCTAATTTTCAAAAAAAAATTAACTTTGGTGATTACTTTGGAATGACATATGATAGGGCGTATATATTTGACACAATATGCCATAAATAATGGCATCCCATCCACTAAGACGCGCTTGAGGGCGCGGTTTTATCCTCCAGAAGGTAACAGTATTTTTAACAGATGATTCATAATATTGATATTTGATGTTGAAATCTCGTCAACTTTCTAAATACATGTACCAATCACAGGCACCTGACCTTACTTATTTTTCTTTTAATCAAAACAAAAAATACCCCCTACCTAATAATTCACGTGAATTATTAGGTAGGGGGTATATTTTTTTTATTAAAAGAAAAATAGGTAACGTCAGGTGCCTGTGGTACCAATGTTCAGTCTTTGTATTTTCTAGACCATTGCATTCATATGTCACAATATGGATTCAGGAATGGATGGGGAAAGAGAAGACATCCGATCGTGTTAAAAAAATCTAGTGTGAAAATAATATACATATGTAGATCATTAAAGGTTAAAAAAATAATACGTCACTGGTTCTGATATGATGTTGATGCCCTTAGTACCCCCACGCTCATTATATGCCAACAACTGATAAAAATGACAAACGACAGAAAATTAAATATATTTTTATATTAAAAAAATTTAATGATTATTATATATACTTGAAATCTTCCAGGGAGACAGAGGCTTCATTTTACAAAAGAACAGACGACCAATTAGACTAAAACGTAATTTTGGGAATAACTTTCTTTTTTACATAAATTTGTAAATGGTTTTGATCTTTAAAAAAAGAAAAAAACTTTTAGAAAGATTTATTTATGTATGCATTTTTTAACAGAATACTTTATTTTGCAATCATCGTAGTCGTAAGTTCTTTTATAAAACGGGCCCCTGGATATATAAATCAACCAGAGATAAGTACTAGTATATCGATCTTGCTCCTTAGATATACATGTATACACGTACTTTAATAAAATAGGTATTTGTCAAAACTGTACTAGGACAAATTTCATACTAAATGTATTAATAATATCTAATCTTTATAACATTGTGTTTTTACTCTCGCATGAAATCACATCAAAAACAAATAAAACATTATTAACGTCGACAATAAGAAAGAGACTTTAATACCCTAAGGTACAAGTAATATATATAAAACCTTAAACGGTTAAAGTGGTCAGTTATAAAGCCGATTTATTTTGACAATACCTAAGTAGTTCTTGTTTTGATCCGACATCAGGCCTGTTATCAAATGTTTAAAAACGCCTTTTAGTGACAGACTACAAATATTGGCTTATCGTTATGGTCAATTGATAATTAAAAATATACACTGTGGACTTAATTGCATTTAAGGGAGCTGAACTTTTCTGTTAAAACAGGTAATTCTTCGAGTGGTTGCTTGGCTCAGAATATTATCGGGTAAGTTGGCTATACTTTGATTTGTAGTAGTTGACCGGTCTTGGGTTTTCTGCTTTAAAAAAAAAATGAAATTTAGACTAATATAAAAACTAAAATTATTAGAAGTTTAAACATGCAATGTCACAAATCAGTAACAACCAAAATTTAGTTCACTTTAATGATTCAGTGCTAGTGAGTTTTAAAATCACTTTTCAAACATTAACACCGGAAGCATTCACAAGTGACAAAAAAGACAATATACTTGAACCAATAACAGGCTAAGTGCTCTATTGATACGGCGGGGGGTACATGATCTTCAAATTATGCAAGAACCTGCCAACTTTAACACGTCAGCTGCATATTTGATGCCAATCTCTAGGAGCCAGCTGATCGCTCGTTCTCGTTGTACGTTTCGAAAAAATCAGTCCGCCGGCCAAAAGTGTTTTGTACAGTTGGAATTGGCTGAGTTTGCAGTGGTCTGTTTGACAAGTACATTGCGAAGGTTCTGTTAAGAGTAATTTAAATGTATCTGATAAAACCTCCTCGATTAATATCCATGCATTGTTTTATTTATTCTTCCTGTGTAATCAAACCTTTGTGATCTCCGGACGTTTGATAAGCAGTATTCCGATTCAACATGAAGTCTTATTGTTAAAATTTAAAGTTGATGGACGTTTTCATATTTCTTCGCGTCCTCTTCGTGCGAGCGCCGAATGAATAGAAGCCCGCATTTAAGATTACACGGATAATCTGGAAGATTTGAACGCTTTATTTACAATTCAAAAAACCTATTTGACCATACCTGTACGTAAGCCATTAGTTACTATAGTGTATTGGCCTTGGTAATGTGAGGGAAGAAAAGGATCTCGATCTGATTTAGATCTACATTTGTCTCCAGTTGTCTTAAACTTATTGACGACTCTGCATCTTTCCATTTTTTGCAGTTTCTGTTGATCACCACTACATTTGGTTATTAGGAGCAGAAGAGAATAATGGGCGAGTTTAAGGTTACACATAAATATGTATTACAAAATAATGTGAGATACATGTACAGTGGACTTCCACAGTCAATGAAATACCGAGGAAGTGGAGATTATCCGAACTTTGACATGCTCCGAATTACCAGGCAAAATTCTGAGCTCAAGAAACTAGTTCTGCAGTCTGATGAGTATCAAAGACGCATGAACACATTCCTCATCCCTAAAGCACCTGCTTTCCGGAAGTTCACTTCGCATGCAGTGGATCCAGTTATCGATCGTTTGCTAAAGCCAACGATTGCCCGGGAAGGATTTTCTCCGGAGAAGCACTCGGATAAATTTCGATGCAAAGAGTACACCCGGGACCCAGATAAGTCACGTTTTCCGAGTTATCAGAAATTACCCGAGGACCAGGTACGAGGAATTACGTCACGGCTGCTGAAGCCGACTCACATGAGCACTTTGAAACAGCGTCTCCCACCCCCACCTCTACGACAAGACCCAGACAGAGCGAGAGTTGTCCAGATGCATAGCATGCCCATTGTTGATGGTTGACAAAAAACAGTTCCATGAGGTATGAGTAACGTTCTTTCTAGTTTGTAGGGGATAGTTGGGGTGTGTTTTTTTTCTACCAAAGAAAAAACACATTTTCCATGGCATCTAGCAGTGGCGGATTCGGTGGGAGGGGGATTCTTCATAAAATTAAGTAAGTTTGTAAAGTTTGTGCTATTAAAATCATATTGATTATAAGAATTGTGAACATCTGTTGTCATACCACTTTTTAAAAGTTCGGACCCCCTCCCTTAACTTGAAATCCTGGATCCGCTCCAGTTTGCGAGGGATTACTGGACATTTTTACAAAGTTCCAATTTATCGGCTTGTTAAATGTAACTTTTTTATGCTTGTTGTTACTGGAAAGCAGTGATTGTGCATTTTGCTAAGTGCATTATAATGTCAAGATTTTAGGGCAACTAATTATAATTAAAGAGGATCACCGTAATGTAAATGTGTCTTTTTACCGCTTTACTCGCTGTAAATAAGCTCCTTGTTAATGCTGTTACACTTCAGTGCCATAAAATCTTGTTTAATTAATGACGTCCATATTAATATTAATCAAAGTAAAGCTGATCTTTCAACAGTATTTAAAACACGTTACCCTATACTAATACTCCACAAAGGAAACCACGTACATGTTTACCAAAACTGCGAATTGGATAGTTCTATTTTAAATGAAGTAAGTCTAATCCTTTTAATTCATTCTGCTTTGTCAGCAAAGAAACTCCATCCGACAAAAACTATAGTTCCATTTCTTATTGCGGAAAAATAAAATATAAACTGAAAAAGAAGGGGGGAAAGTGAAAGTATTGATATTACATATGCAACACTGAGGCCCCTCATGCATGTGCACTGTAGATCCCCTTAGTTAAGGCAGAAGTGATATACATATATTACTGATTAATATTTACAGAAAGTGATAGTCCAAGAACATTAAAAAAAATAAACAAACCTGAACAAAATGTGCATATAACCAGTATGCGAAGAAAGAAGATTCACAATTCTTTTAAAAGTATACATATGTGCAAAGTGTCTTTAAAAAAGTCTAGAAGTTCTATATCTATAAGGAAAATAATTGATTTAATATCTGCAGAGTCTAGAAAAAAAATGTCTGGAAAATCTGTGAATATGCGTTATTGTTATTGGGTCGTTATTCCGTCAAAAATCATCAAAGCGGAACGATCGACTGTAACTTGTCAAGGTAGACTCGCATATCTTAAATCTGCATGCAAGCATCTTCAAAAAACGTAGAAAACTGTGCAGACTGATGGACAGATTGACGGACAAAATGCAAAACGATAACCGTACTCCATTCCTGGAAGGGAACAAAAACAAAGAAACAAACCAATATTCGTTTATTCGGTGAATGAATTTAAGCTAATTTCATAATTTTTGACATACACATTTTTTAAATGGTCAATGCGCAATATGTTAAACATATTGATTGTGCAAATGATCATGTATTTATGTACATTAAAAAAGGGTACCAAGTGCAGGTATAACTACTAGTATTACATGTATAAATGTATGTTTGCAGAATAAGTGTAAGTTTAATGATTTGTGTTTTAATTGGAAATTCTTTACTTTTTTCAGGCTCATCTTTAGTTACGCAAGATCATACCATTTCTTCACGAGAGGTCCTGTATCAATTAAAACAATCAAATATGTCGATTTCACAGCATTGTCATCAATTTAAATCTTTAACTGTTTTTAAGCAAGATTTGGTATTCACTTCAACCTTTTCTCATTCACACGAGAATAAATTACCCATTTCATGTTTATAAGAATATTTATTTATTATAATTTATATTGTTGCAATATTTTGTTTTGTCGTCTTTCAAGTACATATGTTTATTTCTTTGTTGTTTGAGACTTTTAAAGATATCTTATATGTGTAATTTATCCTGTTCTTAAATTTAAAATCAGAATAAACATTGATCAGTTGATTGTTTGATTATAAGCTCTGCTTGTGTTAATTTTGATGTATGAAACAAAAGAGATAGTACTGTACTGATTATCAATCTTTAAATCACTGAAAGCAATGAACAATATAATTTAAAAAATGACGATAGATTAAAAACAACGTAAAATTTAGAAAATTAAAACAAATTATTTGATTTCATTGCAAAATGAATTTCCATTGCAGAATTCAGAATTAAATGAGACTACGTTATAATATGCTTAAGTTTTCAATAGATCGTTTTTTTAATTGATCTAACGTCTTATATTTCTGAATACATCGGGGGGTGCGTACAATGATCATTTTAAATTCATTTTATAATAATTTAAAACAAAGTGTGTTGTGAAACACCGATGCCCCCCGTATGGCAACTTATAGCGAGGGTTAAACCTTCTCTAAATGCAAATCAAATATGTTGGTACCCACAGCCAGGTCTTGTCTCAAGGAATATACCTGTGAAATATGAAAGCCCTAGCAGCAACCATTGAAAGGGTATGAAAAAGAAAGTTTTTCAAAAGTAAGTCAAACATTAAGGTCAAAGTCAAAATTAATGGTGCCCAAAGAAAGGCCGTCTCACAAGAAATACACATGTGAAATATGAAAGCCCTAGCACCAACTGTTTAAAAGTTATGGATAAGGTTAAAGTTTTTCAAAAGTAAGTCAAGGTCAAAGGGGCAAAGTTGTTGTTATCCAACATAAGGTCTTGTCACAAGAAATAAACATGTGAAGTATGAAAGCCATAGCACCAACTGTTCAAAAGTTATAACCATGGTTAAAGTTTATCAAAAGTAGGTCAAACTCCAAGGTCAAAGGGTCAGAGTTGTTGGTATCCAAAGGAAGGTCTTGTCGCAAGGATAACAAATGTGAAGAATGAAATCCCTAGCACTAACTGTTCAAAAGTTATGATGAAGGTTAAAGTTGGGTAAAATTTAGCAAAACTGGGTCAGACGGCAAGGTCAAATATGATAATTCCCAAAGAAAGCTCTTATCACAAGGAATACACACGTGAAATATGAAAGCCATAGCTCCAACCAATCTAAAGTTATGGGCAGGTAAAAGTTTTTGCGGACAAACAGACAGACGGACAGTGCAAAAACTATATGCCCCCGAATCTTCGATTTCGGGGCATAAAAAGCAAAATCAAACTGAGAAATAATAATAACTAGATTATACTGATAGAAAAAAAGGTTGTAAATGATGCTTATATCAAATTTCTAGAATATTAAGAAAATGTAAACTTTCTATATGATGTTCAACTTGTTCCCTTTTGCCACTACTTATAAATCTATGCTATTTTTTTTCTTCACTTTATAGTACATTGTTGAGAAACATTGAATGAAAATGCAGCTAAACCATTTTATTTTAATCAAATAGACATTCATAAAGTTAATTTGATGATTTAAAAAAAAAAGATTGTTTTTGGCATCTGTTTTAAAATATGACTTTCAGCTTAGGCCATGACACATATAAAACAACGCACTTGAGTTTAAATTCATTTAGAGAAAAGACTTAAGGGCACATATTCAGCTTTGCATTGCACTTTGATATATCGCCTTGAGTCAAATTGACAACAAACGTTTACATCATGGACAATAGCCTGCTAGAGATTAGAATTATTCCTTTAAGATCAAAATCATGACGCACCTTCAGGCCATGGGCAATGTCATACTAAACTTTGAATCCATTATAGTCAGAAAGTCATAGTTACATAATGACTCGATTTTGAGACAGACGATCATAACAAAAAGAAATATATCTCCTAAGAAATGTGGTAATAATCTTTTTTTTTTTTTTTAAAGATTTTAAGGTTTGAAAGAAAAGAAGGGAAAAGATTTTTACATCAAAAATAGTACAGCATTTAATTTAGTAATCTTTCTTATAGTCGAGATTCACTCCTCGGTGGAAAAAAATGAAAAAAAAAAAATACGGGCATAAGAAAACAGTGTTGTTACAAGAATATACCGAAGCAAAACACCAGGGTAGCCCTTAAATGAAAAATTGGAGGAAAAAATACAAAAATAAATGAAAAATAAATGAAAAATTGATTCAATATCTTAAAGAGTAACTCCTCTGAATAATATCATGTGCCACGGTAACATTTAGTATCATTTAGTATCATGTGCAACGTTTTCATCGAGCAGATGATTTCAGGATTTTCAACCAAAAATGTGGGAAGTTTGCTTTGCTGAACGTTTAGTATACGACACCAATACATACAGTACATTCAACACAACTTTGGAAGGGAACGCTTCATGTTGCTCACCATTGTTGTTAATAACTATGATCAGAGGGAAAACATATCTAAACTCTGCATTTTTGCTCATTTAAAAAGAAGATACACAGAACTCAAACCAAAGAATTTAAAGTATGCTTTCAATGCAAAACGCAGGAGTTTGTTTGTCCAAAAATATAACAATAAAGCTTGTATAACACCTTCCAAGAGACTGATATGGACTCTAAATATTGAAAGTAAAGAAGTTTTTTTCTTGCATGGAAAATTTATTTCTGAAAACATTTTAAAAATTTATTAATTCATGAACATTGTTTAACAGTACATGAATGATCTGTATTTTTTTAAAATGAAATTTAAAACAACAAATGCATTAATGCATAAATGAACATGTACATGCATAACTGTCTTAGTATCATTGAAACTTTACACGGAGCCTGATAAATTATTAAAAGGATGACGGAGTTCCTCACTGTCAACATCTGTGTAGTCTTTGGAAACCAGGTCTTCCAAAAAATGTTGGAATTCTGATGGGCACTAATTTTGTTCCCTTATTAGCAGCCCTTTTTTATATATTCCTATGGCAGAATTTATTCGAAAACTTCTACACGAGAAGAAGAAAACATACACTTGCTGTAGTCTTCAACTCGACATTCGGATATATAGACAATGTTTTATCAATTAATATAGTTACTTCCATTTATATGTCGACTCGATATATCCCAGTGAATTCTAAATGAAAGCCACCACTCAGTCTGCCACACCTGTTTCATATTTGGATGTTTTACTGACTATAGACGATAAGGGCTGACTATCAACTAAATTTTATCACAAGCGAGACGACTTCGTCTTTTCCATCGTCAACTTTCCTAATTTATGTAGTAATATTCCGCTATCACCTGCATATGATGTTTATGTCTCCAAACTACAATGTAATTCGATACTGAAGAGCATGCTCCGAGTACTCTCAATTTTCAAACCGAAGCAGGCTACTGACAGATAAGTTGATGTAACAAGGATTTCAAAAACCTTGTTTAAAAGTCAGTATTTCGAAAATTCTGTGGTCGTAATAATGACCTTTTTAGCAAAATATAACCTATAATTTGGTCATATTTTATAGCTGACGTTTTTCTAACTGATTGTTAGGCCTTTGTTTTTATACTAAATTTGACTACGGAATATTCCATCTGTCTGATCAATACTTAAGGCTCAAGGAGGGCGTGACCGATCAACAGGGGATGCTTACTCCTCCTAGGCACCTGATCTCACCTCTGGAGTTTTCGAAGGTCCGTTTTTATGTCCTGTTCATAGATTTGTATTGTTTGAAGATTTTGTTTTAGATCGATCACGTTCGTTTTCACTTTTTTTCATTATTTATATAGTAATATTCCAGCATCACCTGCATATGCTATTTATGTCTCCCAACTTATTCGAACTCAAGAGCATGCTCGAAGAACGATCAATTTATTTCAAGCCAGCATTTCGTAAATTCTATAGTCGTTATAATGGCCTTGCTAGAAGATATAATCTATCACTGGGCCGTATTTTTGTTTTTATTCTAAATTTGACAACGGATTATTACGTCTTTCTGATTACATATGGTTCAGGGTGGGTGTGACCGATCGACAGGTGATGTTTATCCTCCTAGGCGCCTGATCCTATCCGAGGAATTTCCGGGGATCAATATTTTATGCCCTGTTATACCCCCCGCTTGAAAAGTGGGAGGGTATATAGTGATTAGGGTGTCCGTCCTTCCGTCCGTCCGTCCGTCTGTTACGCTTTGGGGTACCTATCTCTTATCCGCAACTCCTCTTATACCACTGAATGAAATTTAATGAGACTTTCACAGAATCTTTGTTACATAGTGCCATTGTGCACCTCCTATTTTACTTTTTGATCTGACACTTATTTCAGGTCTCCCAGGGCAAAAACATGGACTTTGCCATTATAATCATATGGGAGGCTGGGGTATCATTTAGTGAGCTAAGTGCTCACAGTACCTCTAGTTTTATTTTATTTTATTTATTTATTTATTTATTTATTTATTTATTTATTTATTTATTTATTTATTTATTTATTTATTTATTTATTTATTTATTTATTTATTTTTGATCGATTACTTTTCGTTATTTTCATCTTTTTCATTATAAAAAATTCAATTCTTGTTGTGAAATGTTTCAATTGTACTCATGTAAATATGCTAAGATGTTTCCTGTGACCTTGTTTGGCCAATTAAATATCTTAAATTTGAAGAAATAATAGTACATATAATCAGCTTCAAAGTCTGTAAACGTTTGTGAACAAATTAATCAAACGCACATTTTGGAAATAAAAATTTTGCTACTTTAAATTGACAGACACAAGATATAAAGAATTTTTGCAATTTTATAATATATTTTTATTCAGGATTGCGGTTTATTTTTTAGTCTTATTTGCTCCCCTTTTTGTGCGAATAACAGCTAAATGCAACTATGTATGCTTTAAATAAGTTTACGCAGAATGTTTTTTTTTTAATTGATCACCTTGAGACTTTCTGACATTATATACAACTGCTTCATCAATGAAAATGTGAACTCGGAAATGTTCATATCTTGTGATTGGTCATAAAACCATTCTGATTCTCTGAATTTCATAATAAAATGATGCTGTATTTCCTTATTGAAAATATATAAGGAGTCTTTAGAGACCAGGTCTTCTAACAATCTGTTGGGAATTTTGATGGGCATTACTTGTGTTCCTTTGTTATAAGACCTGTTTTCAAATACAAATGAAGCAGAATTTATTTTTAAAAAAAAAACGTCTACTTAAGAACATTTTTGCTATGGCCTTGCTATGGGTAAATACACATTACTTCGTGAATTCAGACATTTTTTGAGACTTTTCAATTACTTAACCGCTGGTTTTCAGAACCTGAGGATCGAGATATCAACGTGAACTCGAAATTACAAACACTTCAGAGTCTGACATAAGTGTTTCATTTTCATATTGGATGTTCAGCTCGCTATATACATAAAGAGCCATTTTCTGTAAGGATTAAGTGATGTGGCACACAGAGTTCCTGCAAACCTTGCATAAAATGAAGGCTTCATTCGAGAAATATTTTTTTGGGAAATCTGGAATGTCATGAATAAATGGTTAACATGACAATGGGTCTCTAAATTGGAAAAATGCAAATTTCTGACAATTTAGAAATCTAACTGCATGATTTTTCTAAATCACTGAAATATTTTTTATACTTACGTACAAAGTAACCTATGGAAACAACTTTTTTCAATGAAATATGTGGAGATAACGAACAGTATTCCAGCTCAAAAGTCCATTAAACAATGCAAAATAGGAGCAGAGCAAACACGGACCTCCAAAACATCAGATGTGGGATCAGGTGCCATGGAGGAGTGAGCATCTCCTGCCGACCGGTCATACCCGCTGTGTGCTCCTTATCATGATCGGGAAATAACGGAAAAATCCGTCAACAATTCAGTGTGTAAATAATGGCCTAACAATTAGCATTCGACTCAATGATAAATTGTATTTGCTGACAAGGTCATTGTATCGACCATAGAACTTACGAAATGATGACTTTAAACGAGACAGCTGATATTCTTGATTCATCAACTTGTTTGTCAATAATTTACCTCGTTTTAGAAATTGTACATACGTAAAGCATGCTCTTGCGTATCGAATCAACTGAGATATATATATACCCCGTATAGAGGTGATGAAGATATATTGCTGCATAAGTAAGGGAAGTTGACGATTGAAAAGTTAAAGTCATCACGTTTATCATAAAGCTTGGTTGTTAGATTACCATTAACGTCTTTTTCAAGTAAAATATCCAAATATGAAACAGATGTATCAGACTCTGTGGTATCTTTTATCTCAAGCTCACCGGGATATATCGTATCGACATAATAATGGAAATAATCATTGTTAATTGACAATACGTCGTCGATATATCTAAATGTCGAGTTGAAGGCCACAGCAAGTGTTTTCTTCTTTTCATGTATAAGATTTTGGACAAATTCTGCTTTATATGAATACAAAATAAGGCTGCTAATAACGAGGCGCAGTTGGTACCCATGGGAATTCCAATAGATTGTTGGAAGACCTGGTCTCCAAAAAAACCACATAGATATTGTCAATCAGAAACTCAAGCATCTTTTTTAATGTCAACTTCAGAGTACTTGTGTGTACAATCAGAATGTTTTTAAACAAAATAATTTTGCAAATGACCAATGGCAAGGTAAGTAAATTTACGAGTTCCATTTTTATTGAAAAAGCAGCTGTCAATGATATCAAAAAGCCTAGACTTTAATTTATCGTGGGGAATGGTTGTGCATAAAGTTGAAAAGTTCTAAGGTTTTAAGCTGTTGATTTTGGCAAAATCTTGTGATTTCAAATTTTCCAAAAGTACCTTTGAATTTTTAAGTGTTCACATCTGAATTACACCACTTCTCGAATATATTGTTGCACAGTACTCTTGAAGTTTCTCCTTCACTATTTTTAATATCTTAGTGAGGAGTAACGAAAGAGGCTTGGTTGAACATTTACTGGAACCCACTTTGTATCTTTGTTTGTAAGGAATTTTAGGAATTTTCGAAGTTTCGGAGTCCAATATAGATATGGTAATTCAAATTCATTTTGTTTGTTTGAATATTAAAAATATTCAAAACTGACATATGATTTTGAAGAATGTCTTCCTTAGAAAGGAAACTATGAATATAAGGTGGATTACCACTTTTTAGAATTTTAAATTCTATGTACCACACCTTAATATACATGTAATTATGTCTTATTACATCAGATAAATAAATTCTGGTGATTTTTGAGTATGTTACAATTTATAACTCACAATTTCCTGTGCAAAAATAATGGCGTAAAGCCCTGTTGTCATGGCAACCAAGACAGCAGTAAACAAATTATTAATGTGTTTATACCTGTTTAAGGTCTTTTTAAATTTTTTTAATGCCTTTTGACCTATTTACTCATTCAAAATATAGCACAAGACTTAATAAATTAGAAATAATTAGGAGTTTTGTTAATTTCAAGATTTTGTTCAAATGTAACAACAGTTACAACCTATTTCACGTGGATTCCCATTAGTCTCTTTTTACCATCTTGAGAAATAAGACTTGTCATTCCTTCATACATGCAGGTACACGGTAGTTTAAAAAATATAATTTTTTCAACTTTAAGGTTCATTGCCATGGAAATAGACATCTATTGCAATCATAAAATCATTCGCTTTCACTTTGCAGGATAGAGAAAGTTTTACATGTACTTGTGCACAAGTTTCCAGAAAATTCATGATCATGCGTGCCAAAAAAGTTTAAGTGCTCACAGAAAATACCTCATGATGGCTAACAAACAACTAACCTATTTGGCAGAAGAGATGACTTTAGCTTTTCATTATTAACTTCTCCTTTCTTTATTGTAATATTCCACTATCTGGTGGTTATGTCTCATAACAGCAACTGATGCGGTACACAATATTAGCATGTTCATAGTACATGTACAATCAATTTTTAAGCTGAGGTGCGCTACTGCCAAATAATTTGATTTTACAGGGCTTTCAACAATCTTGTAAACATTTCGCAAATTCTTTGGTCGTTAAAATGACAGCTTAACCTATCTCTGGGTCATATTTTGAGTGACACGTTTCATACCGATTGTTATACTTATAATGACTGTGTTGCTTACTTTTCATATGTACCTGTTCCCGTCTCTGTGTTTCCATATGTTCGTGTTTTTGTCCCGTTAACGATTCGTATTACTTGAAGGTTGATCGACGTTATCTCCACATTTTTTCACTCATCATGAAATTTTAGCTATTAGATGCACGCTTGTGTGTAAACATTACAGATAACAGTATAAGCCAGTTTTAATTATACTTTCTGTGCAATGCACTTCATGAATTGTAAAAACTTTCATGTCATTTTTAATTATCTCGAATCAAATAAAAGCATGTATCTATCAGTAAACAATCCACTGTCAAATATGCCTTTGTGGGAGAGGTTTACAGAAGAAATCCAACACCAATCTGAGAGATACATCACTGGTCAAATGACGGGATCAAACTCTTCAGTAAGATGCTACCGGAGATATCATGATAAGGATCATCTGCTTTATTCAGTCTTGCTTTATCCAATTGTTTAAAAAAAAGGATTTAATCCAACCTTTAAATACATTGTCAGTTCTTTAAATTACACAGAGAATATGTCTGCAATAATTAGCAGTTTTGTTACATACCATGAATTTATTAACACGGTTTTAATATTCATTCGTTTTAAACCTAGCACCAGTAGTGTGAATGCTGAGAAGGCTTAACACTCGTCATATCTAAGGTGCAAAGAATGGATTGAAGTCGAGGATTTCATAATTAGATATGGGAGAATTCAAAGTGACACAAAATTACGCACTACAGAATGACGTTCACTATCTGTACACTGGCGATCCCATAAAAATGACTTATCGTACAAGTCCGGACTATCCTAATTTTGACCAGCTGAGGCTTCAAAAGGACAGAGCAGACATGAAGCACAAAGTGCTGAATTCTTTGCAGTATCAGAAGTCTTTAGAAGGGCCACGTCATCTTCCAAACTCTGCAGCGTTCAGAACTTACTCCCGCCACGGAATCCGTGATGTCATCAGTCGCCTGTATCAACAGAAACACAGGAACAATGATCCAGAAATCGAGATTGCAAACCAATACCCTGCCTGGAGCCGCAGTAATATCAGTCATCTTAGCTTTAAATACGAGGGCCCCACTAAAGCAACGAAAGCTTGCATCATCAAAAGGCGAAAAAAGTTTCCCGGGTTTCGGCAACACCCGGATGTACTTCATAAAGGACTGTTAATGCACCAGATGCCTTGGGTTTAGGAAGATACATTGAAAAAGAAGTTATATGTGAGGTTTCAATGAGATGGAATTCCAAAAGAGAAATCATCTTTACCAGTTGTCTTCAGTTTACTAGCAACAAAATGTTTTTACTCTGGATTTGCAAGTTGATTCACTTTACTGAGTGACTGCAAATAACTTAAGGTGGAGGTGACCCCCGGTAGGAGAGTTAACTCTAAAATTGATGAAACTTTCTTTTGTAAAATGTTCATCTTTAAACACGGTCGTTTTAAAAATTGCCACACACTGTAAACTTTTGCTTGAAATTCATTTTTTATCCGACCCAAAAGGTGGAATATTGTCAACGTTAGAGGAGAAATTTCCTTTCAGTAAGGAGGAGGTCATTCTTACAGAAATTAACAGTTTGAACTATTCAGCACTTATATTACGTTTTAAAAGATGATCAATTTTGCAGTTTAATTCAAGTTTCAAAGTTTATATTTCTTATAATGCATGCATCAGAAACGATTTTTTTTCCCATACAGGTATATATTGCTGGATATATTTTTTAGTCTTCGTAAATAAATGTTAAATCATTATATTCCTTTCTAATTCTTTATGGAAAAAATTAACTTAGAGCAGTTGTTGATCTTAATTTATTTGAATAAAAAATAAATTTATACAATATTTTGTGTTGAATCATACATATATAAATTTAAGATTTTCTGAACATGATTATTTATTTATGCATAAAGTTTTATATACAAGTAGTCTAGAACCAACAAACACATATATAAAAAGCAACAATATTAAAGTGATATCCGACAAAAAAACTATCTGGTTCATTGCTCCATGGTATATTTATATATTAATGTACACGAAAAGTATCTTAACACAATGTAACAATATTATAAAGAATATTAGAAAACTTCAGATCCCTGACTGTGAAAAAAAAAAAAAAAACAGTAAATGTTTTTGTTTCACAACTCCATGATTTATCACAAACTTAAAAAAGTGTCCAGGAATGTATACAATGATTTAACTGATATCAGAATTATCACAAACTTAAAAAGTGTCCAAAGGAATGTGTACAACGATTTATCTGATATCCGAGTTATCACAACCTAACAAAGATAATTTAAACACAAAAAACTTACAAGAATGTTATCACACAATCATAGTGCCATCTGATTGCTATCTTGATGGACAACTGAGCAATACGATTTGACAGGGTTAAATGACATTTGTCAAAATTAACACATGTACAGTGTAACCACAATATTTAAACTTTTTCCTTTGAATAATTCAACAAAAACTTTAATGAGAATTATGAACACAATTTAACTGGTCTACAGCATATTAAACAATTGCTTTGCAAAATTCCTACAAAAATACATATAAGTAACACAAGCTCTGTATATTATTTTCATCTCAGATGGCAAGCAAAAAGCTCTGAAAAATTCTGTGCAACTGCAAAAATCAAAAATCCTATCAATGTCAAGAACAGGCTATCATATGAAGGAAAAACATGTCATGTCTATATTTAAGCAAATACTGTTAATTAAAGCACATCTAACATGTAACATAAGTATATAAATGCTACAACACATTTTTTAGAAATACAGCCATTTTTTCACATGAAGTTGACTTCTGAATACATGGTGACATCTCGAGAAGTAATAGTAGACACAATCTCTTTTGGAAGACTTGACTTCTTAAGGAATAAGACAAGGTTGGATAATACACCACCAGACTTTTCTATTTCTGAGAGTTGCACTTTGTGTTTTGCATATGTTATCTTCTCATCTAAAACCTACAATAAGTTTTATCTTCTTTAGTTTGATTTTATTAAAGAATCAGTTGGAAAACCAATAAAAATAATTTTACAAGCAATAATAACATTTCATTGGTTTATTCAACCTGCAAAAGTCATCAATGAACTCTATCTTAAAAATATTAGTTACATGCAAAACCATTTGTTAGTTTTCATTCAGAAATTAATTTTCTTTACTTAAATACCCTTCCAACACAGGCACCAAGCTCACTAATTGTGATGTCCATCTTGGTGAATGTGGAGTACCACATTTACAATTTTTTTCCCCAGAAATATGTCAGTCATGCAATTTTTTTTTAGTCATTTTTAATATACCTAGATCTGTCATGCAATAATTCTGCAAACAACAGTACCTTTTGTTAATAAATTTAGAGGGGAAAAATAGAAACATAGGTAATCGAAAATTATGAAGCTCATCTCGACGAATATTATCAAGGAGTGAGGCAAAGTGTCACATCAATAAAAGTTCTGGTATTAATGTACATTGTTAGATGAATCACTCATGCAAGTCTGGTCTAGATGGAACTTAAAGTTACTTGGGAATGGACTTGTTCCAAAAAACTTCAACCTGGTCACTCATCTGGAAAAATCAAGGTTAGATCCAGTATCTGAAGCATGTCTGCTAGTGTGCTTCTCCATATGAATCATCAATTCAAGTTTTGTCAACATAGGGGTTATAGCTAATTTTATGTTGGTCAGACTCAGTATCTGAAGGATGTCTGGAAGTGTGCATCAATCGATGGATCATACGTGCAAGTTTTGTCCAGTTAGGGCTTATAGTTACTTGAAAATGAAATTACTGCAAATAATTAAATCTGGTCACTCATCTGGAAAATGTAGAACAAATCCAGCATCTGATCCCAAGCATGTCTGGCAATGTGCATCCCTAGATGCATCATCCTGTCAAGTAGTGTCAACATAGGGTTTGTAGTTACTTGGGAATGGACATGCTCTAAAAACTTTAACCTCGTCACTCATATGGTAAATCTAGGTCAGATACAGCATCTGAGATAAATACGGTAGATTACATCCACAGATGCATCTTCCATGCAAGTTTGATCCAGGTAGGACTCATAGTTACTGGGACATGAATTTGCTCCAAAATATTTAACCTGGTCACTCATCTGGAAATTCTAGGTCAGATCCAGCATCCAAAGCATGTCTAGTAGTGTACATCCCTAGATGCATCATTCATAAAAGTTTAGACTAGTCCATGTAGGGCTTATAGTTACTTGAAATGGACTTGCTTGAAAACTTTAACCTGGTAATTTATCTAGAAAAACTAGGTCAGATCTAGCATCCAAAGTATGTCTGGTAATGTGCAACCCTAAGTGCATCATCCATTCATGTTTGTTCAACATAGTAATCATAGTTACCGGTACTTTGGAATGGAATTGCTCCAAAAACTTTAACCTTGACAACGGGGGTATAGAGTAAGTTCAATTTGACTGTCGAGATGAGCTAAAAATGAGAATTTGAAGTCCCATAGCCAACCCCTGCATTGGCAATAAGGATTAGTTAATCCTTGCCATGATGACAAAAATCAACCAATCCATGCCTAAGTAACAATAATACCTGTTGATGGAAGGGTGGAGATTATATGTTTGAACTTGGACACATTCATACACAATAAACAACAGTTCTGAATGGTCCCCCCTGCCTGAAATAGTTCTTTTTGGGAGACTGGAATGCCGTCCTCTATCAATTTCTGTATAACCTATTTCAAGCCGAAAAAGATATTTCATCAAGAACCCATCATCAAAATCAATTTGATATCACTTTTAATTGCTTGATTTTATTGCTAATCTAATCAATTTCCTTAATATCAATATGTATATATGATGCGGTTTCACATCACTTCATTCTAATGTCAAGACTGATTTTGATCACCTAATCATGTTTTTCAAAAAAAAAAAATAAAAAAGATAAAACTTTTAAATGATATTTAAGAAACATGTGTGCCACATATGAACATTTATTACATTATCAACACTGAAATACTGTAATTGAATAAAACAGATATTTTGTCACAGTGTGAAAGAATATCAGAAGTGCTGCAAAACTCTCAACTTTCTTCCCTTCATGATGGGTGTTGTTAAAAAAATACTCCCTGGACTGTTATAATACAGTCTGGGAGTAAATAAAGCATCCTGACAGAGAAATTAAAACTGCCAAAGTTTCTCCAAACATGTTGTTGAAATATGTTTACAATGTTTTCCGTCCCAGTTTCTCCAAATATGTTGCTGAAATATGTTTACAAGTTTTCAATCTCACAATCGCTAGTAAAACAGGATTTTTTTTTTTATTTTTACTCATGCTTCACACTCATAAAATATTTAAAAAAATGATGTCCCACTTGTGAAATAGATTCCATATCCAACTACAAAACATTGAAATTCTCCAATTAATATTTATTAATTCCTTCAGAATAAAAAAAATTATGGGAAAGAAACATGACATTAAATCTGTTTCTTTTTCAATGTGAAAATTTATGTTTTTAATCAAATTGTTACATTTCCTTTACTTTATTTTGTGTATTCTGCCTAATCTTTTAAAAATACCACATTAAAACAAGAGAAATAACTCTGTACTTAAATCCTACATAAAGTTGTCACATCTCAAAGTCTTGGAAAAATAACTGACTTGAACACAAGATTTTCTTTGATGCAAAAGCTTTAAAAATATTTTATTTGATTAATTAAAACTTAAAAATATATTAGTTCTACC